CTTACTGTGTTTCACACAAAGGACAATGATCTCCCTGTTTTGGTCTAGTTAACTAAGATAACTCGTACTGGTCCTTCTGCCTGGGAAACCAAGAAGATTCTTGCTGTTTCTTTTGCTCCTTTGATTCAGCCCAACCACACAGATTCAGGAAAGTCGAGGCTTGTTCACTTGCGTGAGTACAAACGTTCTTGGCTATGGGGGGGATTTCATCTGCTGTTTGACTAGAAGATGTATCTTGGTTCCTTAGTTGTGATGTTGCTATGTATATTTCCATAAAAATTATTCCAGCTGGTTTTCCTTCTTGGAGCAGTTGTCCATTTTGATTGGGTCCCAACACAGGAATCCTGTCTTTGATCCTAGCAGCAGGTTGACTCAATCGTGTAGAATAAATTCTAAATATTAATGTTGTGTGTAAAAACAAAACAAAACCAAAAAAAAAAAAAAAACAAACCAAAACAAAAAACTGTACCCAAGCTTTAAGGAAATGTCTGGTCATTACAGGCATCGGTTTCAATCCCAGACCACCTGCGTTCATAGTTGTTGGGTGCTGTGCTGTGGTGGTAAAGAATGCATAAATGGTAACTGTGAACAAATGTAGTCCTACCCAAAACAAGTCAGAATTATCCTCAGCTTGGAACAGTTGAGGAATCTGAGTTGTGCAGTTTTTGGTTAGCTGTTTGAAGTGCAGTTGTATGCCATGGCCCCAATCTTCAGCTTAAGACTTTGGTGTAAAGCGGCCTCTTAAGAACTTGCAAAGACAAAGATACTCATAAAGAGATTAGTCAGGCTTTGGTCTTATTCTGGAAAGGTGTCTTTGTGTGACAAAAAGCAGCTCAGTAAGCAGTCTGTACAGCACCATAAAGTCCCCTAAGTCTGCATTTGAGCATGCTTTGTATGGTGCCTTTGTAGGCAGACGTGCATTGATGCTATATGAGTTGTGTTGTGAATTTACATGCTGGCAGCAAAGAAACAGAAAAATGAAGTCTTCCAAACAGTGTGGGAGGGTTTTTATTTTAAACACAGTAAGTTATTGTATGTTTCTAAAATTACTTTTACCAAATGATTTCCAGCCAGTCTTCTCCTGCTACGTCTGAAACGGTTTTTGATGAACATAAATAGTACTTATGTTTTATAAATAAAGAACTTGGCAAAGCTGCAATAAACTCACAATAGGCAAATCGTTTGTGGGTGAACTGAATAGACTTTAGGTCTAGATATCTACAGAAGGAAAATATCTGGGTTATTAAATAGTCACAGTATCAGTAACTAAGTCCACATTCTTACAGTCTCCAAAATGCGTATCTTAAAATAACTGTGAGGACTTGACATCAAAATACGAAACTCTTCTTTCATCCCATTCTTTCTCTCCAGTTAATGAGAGAAATGCGTGATTAAATTTTGTTTGGGAAGCTACAATGCAGTTTACCGGAGTTGACAGGAATTGAATGGAGCTGTTGCTGTAATCGCAGCAGGGAATTCAAGTGGCCTGATTTAATTTGAGCAAATGCAGCTTTTCCTGAGAGCGCTCTTGAGGAGACTTTCTCCATCTCTGTTCATGATTGTCGTTTTGTTTTAGCCCCTGTGGCAGTTCGCAGCCTCCAGGACCTGGCTCGCATCGCCATCCGAGGAACCATTAAAAGAATCATACATCAGGAAACAATGGGCAAAAACGGGAACGGCCTGAAGAACCCTCCTAGGTTTAAACGAAGACGTGTGCGTCGCCGTCGCATGGAAACTATTGTTTTCTTGGACAAAGAGGTCTTTGCCAGTCGCATCTCCAACCCATCGGATGATAACAACAACTGTGAGGAGACCGAGGATGAGAGGCGAGAAGAGGAAGAAACGAAACCCTCTGAACTAAAGCCAGATCCCCCTGTAAACTTTTTGAGAGAAAAGGTCTTGAGTCTGCCTTTGCCTGATCCCTTGAAATATTACCTGCTTTATTACAGGGAAAAGTAATTTCCTTCTAGGATATGGGAGTAGGCAGAAAATAAAATACTACTTAGGGCTTGACAAACGTATACCACTTGCTTGCCTGCTAATATGACCACCCAAGGCAGTAGGCTGATTGGGGAATGTGGCTGCTGTATACTTAAACATTATAGCTTTTTTTTAAGTTTCCTCTTTCTTCTTGGTTGTGTGCTATAGTTTTATTCTACAGCAGGAATTCCTTAGGTAGCAAGTTGGTGAAGTGCTTGACTGCTTACAGAATGGAGGATTTAATTCCCTGAAACTAACTGCACAGAGATGGCTGCTCTACTGAATTGCAGTTTTTAAATGTTCTTAGATTCTTAAGCAGTTCCCCAAAGGCCTTTGGTGTCTGTGCTCTCTCCCACTCTACCTGCCGTGTGTTTACCATGGTGTGTGTTCAAAGGAGGATGAAGATTGTTAGTAAAAGCTGACCTGGCAAATCTTTTTCTTCTAGAAATGTGAAAAAAGCACAACTTTTACAGAAAAGAAGTTCTGGTGTTACTCTTGAGATGTCCAGATTTTGAATGCAGAAGGAAGGCATCAGCTCCCCTTTGGTTGGTCCCAGCTTTGCTTTTTTTTACATACTGATTTTCAGTAAAAGGTAGAAACGTTTACAGATTATTCGTTTTCTTGGTGGGAAACACCTGTTTTAGAGTATTACATGTGAAATTGTTTTTGTTTTTTTCTTTTAAAGCAGTGGAGTCAGGTGAGGAGTAGTGAAGCTGAGCTTTGACAGGATGCTCAAGTGTTCAAAGTTGTGACTGTTGTCTCCAGAAGTGTTTACAGAGTAATCCTGAATGGGGATGAGGGTGGGGAGGAGATGGGCAGCAGAGATGGTGAATACTGGCTGTGAAAGCAGGATCTGCAGGTTTTGCAGTGATGTGTGAACTAAAATCTGCTTGACTGGAGTGGAGTGCAGAGCTCTAGCCTGGGCATGGTTTGTATCCTGGGAAATGAGCCAAAGAGGTCTGTGGAGGATATGTGGAAACTCTGGAACACCAAATTGATGTAATTCTGACTTAGGTGTTCCTGTGTGCACCCTTGTCATAGCAGGGTGACTGGAATGCAGCTTGTGTACACGTTAGTCCACATACAGCAAGTGGAATGAGGTTGCCTTGGCAGTTTATTACTGCAACAAAGAAATAGATGCTTTAACAGACTTGCATCAATGGACAGAAGAGCAGTGCAGTTTTATGGGTGTTGATTTTTATTCCTAAGTCTTCCTGTAATGCTGATGGGAGGAGATTCCACGTTGATTTGCTTTGACAAATCTGCGTAGACCAACATAGCCTGAAAAGAAACCCTCGAGCTCATACTGATGTGTGGTACTCCTATAGCTGAGGGTAAAACCAAAAAGAATGGCAGCAGAAAAAACACTTAGTAGGTAATGAAGTTATGAAAGATGTTACCCCATCAGAAGCACTTACATCGGTATCACCTTGATATCTATTTTAAGCTGTCTCCTCAGTTCCTGAGGAGGAATAAGACTCTCTTGCCAAAAAAAAAAAAAAATGCTGGTTATTCATGTAGTGGTATTGAGTTGCACAATGTAATGATAAGTAGAGTTTCAAAGTTCTGTGCAGCTTGAAAAATACACAGATTCCTCATAGTTATCTCAACCCGAGTTGGAGAATTTTGCCTTGTTTGATGGCTTTTTTTGGTCTTTGAGATGATGATCTGGTAGGTGTGGTGTGACAGGTGGCCACGTGGTATTGAAGCAGCTGTAGGCTGTATCTTGCCTGCAGTGCCCCCAAGCTATTGAATCATTTTCCTTGCTCCTTTGGGTTTTTTTTGGTTTATTTTGAGTGGGGTGGTTCTGTGGCCACTGAGCTGATGGCTTCCTGTAAACTTCAAGCACCCATCTCGTACATCTGGCAACCACAGGGGATTTCTTTCTGCAGATGAGAATTCTGTGTATGATGATAAATGGAGGCATAATAAAATCTGCATAAAGTTTTTCTTGCGCTTCCTCAAAGGCTGTCATCTCTGTGTTTGGTAGTTATTTCTTTAGAATAACTGTCAGACCAGGTGTGCACCTTTCTGTGTGGTGGCACAGCTTCCATGCCTCTGCATATACAGGATGCATTTTACCTCTGGCTGGCAGGTCATCCTTCCATTTATTAATGGCAGAACTGTTCATGGATGTCATAAAGAAGTTACGTTTAAAATTGGCACCTGAAGTTCAGGTCGTGCTAATGAACCTGATTGAGATTCTGTTAACATTGGCCAGTTGAGGGAGAGCATCTTTTATTTAGCTCTGTGTTGTTATTTTAACCATTCCCCATTTTCCAATTCTCAAAGGTATTTTTTTTATCACAGATTTTCACCAGCTTTGCCTTTGTGTTACATCTGCTAGGCTTTTGGCAGTATTCTGGTTTTCTGGATGAGGTTGAGTAAATAAATACATATTTATACAGAAAATATGTTCTTGGTCATCCCCTAGCCAAAAAAACAACCCCCCAGATCCAAACAAACTCATAGTAGCAGTTTTCTGTGTACTATAATTGTGAAATAGCATTGCTTACAGTGTATAAAGGAAGGGGAACTGTAAATGCATTTTCCCTCTGCACAAGCACTTGTACTGTAGTTTTTGTATGTGTTGTTAGTAATTATGGCATCACTGTTTGGTTGGGTTTTTTGTGTGGTCTGTAAGCTGTCTCTGAATTTTACCTGCTTTGACTGTTTCTTTTTTAGTCTTTGCTTTCTTTGTGTGTGACTCCCTTTAGGTTTAGACAGCGCAGTAAATTTGCAAAAAAGAAATGGTCTTCAAGCTGCTTTAATCACCAGTGTGTAAGCTGAAAAATCTGTGTGTGGGAATGGATTGAACTGGCCTGAGGCACACAAAAGTGGTAAAACTTCCTTTTAATGAGTGTTTCTGTTTCAGTAAATTCAGTAAAGACTTTTTAGCCTTCTTAACGTGGCTTTGCATCGTGTTGTGATTAGAATACTTTGTAGTTAAGTACTTATTTCCATAATTGAAAGTTAAGACACTAAACACTGGTTAAGAGCACTTAATCATATGGTGCAGGTGCATAGTTTGTTTTAGATGACCTCCTCAGAATGTAATCAAAAGAAACCTGCCCATCTGATGATTTCCAAACATTTATGTAATGGAGTTGTGCAAGATTTGTTTTGGAATTAGCATACACAGCACTCACTGGTCTGGATTTTAATAGGAAATTTAACAAGTGAGTTCACTCACCTGGCTGATAGGTTTATAGAGAGCAGAGGTATCAAGAGCTCACTTAGGCTGTTTCTCTGTTTCCAGACATGATCTCTAAACCAAATGTGACAAGACCTTGTTTAATGTGTTCTCAATTACCACCGTTTTTGTAACTGCTCTCTTACCTCCTGTGCTGTGATTTAATTCTTACTTAATGCCAATTTTAGGAGCTTATTCCAAGGCTTCCTTTTCACTAGTGTTGAGAATAATGCTTTGGCTTCAATTGTAGTAGGGAACTGTTTATAATAGCAAACCCAGCTGTTACTAATAGAGTGTATCTATTGACCTTTATTCCATGTGATAGTTATTTGTAGATCGTTTCTTCCTGTTGTAAAAGGACATTATCATACACGCAGATAAGCTATGAAATGGGAATAGTACAGCATTAATGCTTTCCTTCATGTGATGCTTGCTAGGAAAAAAAAAAAAATCCCTTCCTGCTTTGGAAAGCTGTGGATGTGTTGTATCAATGGTGTTAAGTAGATGAAATTTGTCAAGACAGGTAATGTTTATGTTTCAGGTAATGTTTGTGTTCACTTCATAGTAAGATATACGTCTCAGTTCCCTGGGAAGTGATGAAATCTTCAGAAGGTGTACTCTGAAATTCTTCTGCTGGGACAGAAGTGGTAGATGACAATACAAGGGTGTTTAAAAACAAGAAAACCCCAAGCTTCTTCTATGTTAGTGTGGAATTCTTTCTAGCACAGGCTAGAAATACTTAAGCAAGGGGCACAAACAAGAACATTCATTCCAGTCACTTAGGAGTTAACTTTTGGTTCTTGTTCAGATTTGCACGCTCCTTTTTAAACAATTTGTCATGTTAATGCAAAATAAAATGAACTAATGGGTGTGTAATGGAACTGTGACTGGTAGTGCTTCATAGCATCTCATTCCTCATGGGGAGGAGATGGGCAGAGCAGGGAAGGTATCCCTCAACTTCAAGCAAAGATCTGCTTCTAAGTAGATTCAGGGTTGCAGAACTTGTTTTTTTGCACTCCAGTTATTCCCATTATGCTCACGTGGCTGTTGTTAAATCTGCTGGCTTTACTAATAATCCAGATCTCACAGAATACATAAACACACATCAGTCCCTTCCAGAAGCTGCCACCAACTGCATGACAACCCAAGCAAAGACTGCACACTGATGAGCAGCGCAGCTCTCCGGTTAGCAATGGAAACAAACCTGGAAAGGAATTATTTTTTACAGGTGGTTGGTTTATGCTGTGGCACGTAACTGAAGGCAGAATCCATGAGCTGTCCAGATGTGCATGGAAGGTGGTGACGACTTGTTTGTGTAGGAGCAGGTTGAGTGGCCACTAGAGGACAGTGTGCACAAAACCATGAGTTGGGTGCACAGGGGAGCTGGGGAGGTGTCGAGCAAACTTGCCTGCTTTCCCAAGTGATGCCAATGCAAACAAACAGTGGATTGATTGAGCCTTAGGTGCAGAAAACTTGCTGCATTATGCCATCTTCCTAGTTAGAAATAAAATAGCTTTTACCAAGCTTGACATGCCTGATGCTCTGGAAGAGATCAGCTATGAGGCATCAGCTGCTGTATGATGGTAACTTGTCCAGTGTTCGTTGACACACAAGGCTAAATACCTGGGATATTTCTGAGTGAAGAGAAGTATGATCTTAATATATTCTGGAAGGTATTGTATAAACCTTGATTGACAAGGTCTTTGAGAGAGGAGGCTGGCAAACATAACCACATAAAACCACACATGGAAAAAAAAAAAAACCAACAAAAACCCACCACTTCTGCTCTGAGTGCTCAAGTGACAAAATATCTGAGGGGGAAGGCAAACTGGGGAGGTTGCAGGCCACCTGGGGTAAGTACTATTTCCCTGTGTTAGCTGTGTTGCAATGTACAGTACAAAGCAGATGTGCAAGTTCATGGGAAGCTCTGGGTTGATTGCACAGGTGATGTGGAATGATGTGATGCTTCACGCCGAGCTTAATGCTTCACACTCATGTCTGTTTAAAATACACATGTAAGAACGTATACACAGTGGTAACTGTAATGTTAAAGCTATTTTCATTCTAAGTGTCTTTATAGTAATAAGATTGATAAATTAAGCTGGGCACACATCTTTCTTTTTTGCATTTTTTTTTTTTTTTAATCCTCCAAAGAGCTGAACAAATTGTGGTGTGTGTTTTCTGCAGGAGTTACTGCAGTCCAAATATGGTTGCTCTGATTGTTTCTTTCCCTCTTCACCCCTTAGTTGCCCCTTTTGTTTTTTCCAAAGCCCCAGCATTTCCCTGAGTGGTATCTTTGTGTTATGAAACTGCATTAACTAAAAGATCTTTGGAATAATATCTGATCAATTTCCTATGACATGGCAAAATGCATCCAGCTGGGGGATTTTAGGTCTTTATTTCCAGGCTATTTATCTTTGTTAGTCTCCCTTTTAAAATCTCTTATCGGTGGCGTTCAGAGTTCCCAGAAGTGATGGGAAATGCACTTCACCAGTTGTTACACATACATGCAATAACTATCCCCAAAGTGGTACTGTGTGCTGCGTTTGACAGAGGCTGTGAGGTGAGATACCATCCTTAGTCTGCAGTCTGCTAAAGCAGAAATTTTGGCTTAAAACTCGAGTCCAGGCTGTCAGAATCCCAGTGATTATTTTGGTCATCGTCCATAAAGATGCATTATGGAGTTAAGGATGCCTAAGGAGTTAACCTGCTGTTCAAAGTAAGTAACAAGGCAAGAATAAATAAAAAATTAGGACTTAATATTTCAACGCTGCAATTAAAGAGGGGTGGGAACAGCCTGATCTGCAGAGATGTACATAATGGCAGAGAGGGTGGGCGGTTGGACTGTCAAACTGCCTTAATTTAATTGCAAACACATGCTGATGAGTCCCCTCCTCCTGGACCTCAGGGCTGGGAAACTTTTTTTTTTTGTCAGCTCCCTGCAGCTGAGGATTGAGGAAAATACACTCCAGCAAACACCATGCTGATCAAACCTTCAGCTCTTCTGGGCTTTTGGTGCTTTCTCCTCCTGCCTCGTTCCTCCTGTTCCTGTCCTCCTCGCTGCCTGTGCTTCAGGACCACAGTAAGATGCATGCATCTGATGTTGGAAACCATCCCTGACATCCCACCTCAGACGAGCATATTGTGAGTAACCTTTTCATTTTGCTGCCTTTCTTATCTGCTTGGTGTTCAGGAAATAAAAAGGAAAATGCCTTTTGTCCTTTATTTATTCATCCTTGCTGCAGGATTGTCTGCGCTTGAATCTGTTTCATGCTTTCAGAACATGAACTGCTTCTTTTGTCATTAATTAATGGTTAATGGGGCAGTCAGTTGGGGAAATGCATACTAATAATGCCACACTATCACTATCAAGACGGTTTTGGGAAATCAGGGGTCACAAATGTTAAAACTGAATTATAGAAAGGTACACAGTTTACATTTCAGAAGGATATGGGTGTAGGAGAGAGAGGAAATACTGCAGGTCAGGCTTTTGTCTCTACAAAACAAAACAAAACACCACCACCACAACAAAAAACTTAATTTTTCGTAAATAAAACCCCTATTTTTCTCTAGACTTTTAAGTTTTAGCTTTCCAGTTTGTATCTCAGCTGTGCAAACCAGATGTGAAGTTTATCAATGAAGCAATAATTGGGGCATCTCGCGTTCCTTGAGAAACAAAATATACCTGTTGAGTTGGCTGTGCCTGTTGTGGAGGGGGCTGCTGGCTATGGCCATTCAGGTGGAGAAGGTGGAGGAAAAGGGCATGAAACAGTTGCAGTAAGAGATGTTTAGGAGACTCTCAGGTCCAGGAGAGCACTTTCCTGTCGATGTATAGTAGTAAATCCTATGCTTAAAGGTGTCTTCGAGGTGCAGTGCCACGTGAGAAAAGTTCAAAGACTTTTTTTTTCTGGTAAATAGCAGGAAAGACTTGTCAAACATCGATCTTAATGCTCATTCTCCTTACATCACTGCTGTTTATGAAACTTATCCAGCCCTGGAGGGTTAAGAAGCCTGTCTCTGTTCTCCTAACCAAATCTGGTCTCAGGCAGAACATCCGAAGCAGCGTGTCTCTTACAAACATTGCACTAATACTGTTAATGCATTTTACCTACTGACAACTTGATGGGGCAGGATGCTGGCATGATAGTTGTTGCATCCAGGTCTGCCTGGGTGGAAGGGGAAACAGAGGTTCTAGCAGTAGAGGCACACAGGAAAATGCCCACACTTCTGCAGCTGCCAGAACTGCCACCTTGGACTCACTGTGACATGGGGCAGAACAGAATTCCCTCGAGGCATTCAAGACCAGGCTGGATGTGGCTCTGGGCAGCCTGTTCTGGTGGTTGGCAGCCCTGCACATAGCAGGAGGGTTGGAACAAGATGATCATTATGGTTCTTTTCAACCCGGGCTATTCTGTGGTGTGCATATATATAGAATCTGGGCATGCTTTCTAGGCTGGTGATGCTGCTGTTGCTGCAGTGTGATAATATCTGCTTGATGGTTTGTTGCATGCAGTTTGGGTAGTGGCTGTCTGCTCTGCAGTAACTTACAGTCTTCAACAGTCCAAATTGTTGCCAACCTTTTTCCCCTTACAGATTTTTCTGCATCTTTAAGTATTTAATATGTACATGCACTGTTTCTAGCAAAGCAGTTTGCTGCTGCTTGTTTAAACATATGTCTTACTGGGGAAAAATTTGGGTGGTGGGTTTTATTTTTTTGGCAACTTATTTCCAAGCTCCATAAAGCTTTATTTTCATTCTTAATTCCAAACAAGACAGCATTTGTTGTTGCAATGAATAGCCTGACTGTGCTTCCTGTGAAGATTCCTCGACTGTAGAGGGAGAGAAATGTACTGTGCTCACCAACTTTTTTTCAGTACAGGAATGGTGTATTTCTGAATGATCTCACTCAACAACACACTTCATTCTCTTATGCTGTGGGGAGTAAGATGTGACTGCTTATCTATGCAGCTTTAGTAAAAGCATTGGTAGTATCTGTTTGCAATGTATCTGTTTGCAATTTAGCTGACATTGAGGTTTTTTTTTTGTGAAACTCAACCTGGACAGGTGGACAGATTTTGCCAGTGCAACATATGCAGTCACCATACTTTTCTCTCCCCTGCCGTGTCTCATCTGCTAACTAGTTAGCATGTGCACTGCTTGTAAATGGGCCATGATTTGCATACTTAACCATTTGGAAAGCTGATTCATTTCGTTTAATGTGCTAACTATAGCTTTGGATGGGGAACTGTGGTTTTAAGCATTAACAGAGTGGTGTAGGTGTGTGATATGAAAGTAGTGTTGTTACAATATGAGACTACTGTCTATATGGGCTAGTATTGCTGAGTGAGATTTACCTGGTGTATGCAGACAATCAGAAGAGAATAATTGTAAGTAAAACCCATACTGACAATTAGTGATCCCTATAGAGAGTGATACGAGCTGTTAGCAGATTGCATGCCTCTGTATGATGTGCAGCAAGCGAAGACACTGACTTTCTGGCTGTCTTAGGATTTAATGTATGTAAATGCATTTGCCAGCAAGCATCCCATTGTATCTGTTATAAATAGCATTTGAATAATTACACTTTTTTAATTGTGAAGGATTAAAGAATGCTCCTTAACCAAGCCCCCGACTGCTCCAGCTTTTTGGTATGTTCATTTTTCTGCTGGGAGGAGAACTGTTCGTTCTCAGTTTGAACACTGGGAGCGTATAGCAAGAATGGTCTGATCGTGGAGCCATTCCGAGTCAAAAATGTGGGATCGTGATATTTTCCACATTTGCCCATTGGTATGAATAGGACCAAGGCTGTAACTATGGATTCAAACCCCGATCAGAGGCTCCAGCTCTGTTCCCTTGCAGAGCAGCTGCGGCTTCCAGATGAGCGTTGCTTTGTAGTTGCAGTTGGAGACTTTCTGACTTCCGTGACTCCGTGCCACCCTCTCTGCAGTGCTCCTAGTGGAGCAGGGAAGTCTCCTCGCCAGCACACGCTGTGCCTCGACCAGCCCTGCTGGCAAATGGCCCCCAGGGGTTCTCGCCAGCTGGCGGCCCTTGGAGCAGCCCGTGGCCCTCTCGGAGCGATGCTGGGGTTGGCATGGGCCCAGCTCTGGGATTGATGAGCTGTTACTGGCTCCTCTTTGGTCGCCATTTCGCTCCTCCCTTCGGAGTCCCAGCTGGGTGCAGCCGAGGACCTGGCCCAGTGTCTGATTTTAGCAACAGGCTGTTTGTCTTCGGTAACGATGCCTGTTGGTTCTATCCTGAGCAAAGAGTAGGACGGCAAGAATGGCTACACGTGTACAGATAAGCTGTAAAAATTCACGATGTTTTAACTGCAAGCGTATTTTGGCTGCTGTTGTTCAACTGGAACACGATTCTCCAGATGTGATCTGCTGGTTACTGCTGGGATTCACGCCGTTTGTTTAGCCAGCAGCCCAAAGAGGGGAACAGCTGTGAAACATACACTCCGAAAATTTCAATAAGTCTTTAACCTTCAAAGCCGTTTGTTCTACAGAGTGACATTTAAAACAATAAACTTTGAAATGCATGGGCATGAGTAGAAGAAATCTATGGAAAGAAGTTCCCCTCTGGCTGGCAGCTAATGGATTGCAATCCAATTATCCGTGGGTTATTCTCCTTTTTGCATTATGCATAGCACATAATGAATGAACGCTTCCAGAGAAGCATAGCTGAGGGCACCAGCAAAGATGACGCGGTATTTGGCATCTGAATGCATTGCTGGCATGAGCCGGAGGTGACCCAGTTGCTCACAGACCTGGTTGCTAATTGGGCACTGTGAACACGGCCAGCTTGACGAGTTTCTTTTCCTGTCGTCGCTGTATGTTCTGTGTGGCTGGTGACTGCTTGTTTCTTCTCTTGCACAGCAGCAGGGAGGGCTGTGCCGTGGCAGGGTGCAGCCCTCGGTGTATTAAGGAGCATAACTGTGAGAGAGAACAACACACGTTTGTGTGGGGAAGGTTCACTGAGAAAAAGAGTTCTTGGAAATGCTGCTCCCTCTGTGATGTCCATTCAGTCTTTGGGATGAAGAAGGGGATTGCTCATTTCCTCTGTGTGTGATGGTCTTATGTGCAGTCATTAAATGCACACCCACACATTCTGCTTGTTCCAGGTGTGATCTCTTGCTGGCTACTTCTGCTGTAGTATTTAATTCCCATTAAACCTTTTTGAGGTGACCTAAGCTTTCTGTGTGTCCAATTCATAGCAGTCACTTCATCGGAAGGAAGGTCTTTAAAGACTTTTTTCCTTCCTAGAAGCACTGCAGCATTTTTGCTGAAGCCACTCTAACTCTCAGGGTCGTAGTTACCTCAGGTGTTTAGAACTCACTGATCAGTCATGCCATCATCTGGCTCTTACCTGAGTATCTGTGCTTTCCCTGATTCCCTTGGCTTCACCACATCCTTCTTCCCATCCCCAGGAGTTTTTGCTGTGCACTCAAACGCAGCTTCCTCAGGGTGGGCTGCAGTATTGGATGGGAGCAGTCTGTATTTTTCAGTGAAGGAGTGTCTTTGTATTCTGCGTTTGATGTTTGTGCTCCTCAGGAGCTAAAAAGCTGGTACTGATGCTACGAGAGACTTTGGATTGAAGAATGCTATAGCATTTCATTTAAGCTGACATAGTACTACTGCACTCTGAAGAAGGTATGTATATTTCCACACTCTGAAATTTTCTTTTACTGCTTCTGGATCAGGGTGAGAATACAGTTCAGGAAGAGAGCAAGCTGTCTTTATTTGATGAGGGCAATATTTCAAATAGACAGTGCAAAGGAAACATGCATCATGTTAAGAGTGTCCTGCTCTGCGCTGACATGAATATCCAAGAATAGATCTAGCTTGTTTGATTAGGATCAGACCTTAATCTCCAGGCCAGCTGTTAATACATAATAGTTTGAATTATCTGAGATGATGAGGTCAGCTGTTTGCTGTGCAAATCTTCCAACCTGGATGCGTGCACTTGAGTTGGAAGTGTTTGCTGCACCTCCTGTACTGGTGAGAGCTGGAGGGGTGCTGAATGGTAGGAGGGGATGTATCAGCAGACAACTTTTCACTGCCTTCAGAAGCCACCCAAAACCACTGCCTGGAACCAGTTCTGTGTGTGCTAGCTTGCATACACTCAGAACAGCGTGGTAGGCTGAGTACTGAATTACTGACTGGTTCTTGACCCAGCTGACAAAGAGGGAGTCCTTAAATATTGTGGGTGCTGAAATTTCTAAATCTGATTTCAGTAAGTTCTTAATTAGAATCTGGTGTGCCCACTGCTCTGACTTCAGTGCATAAGCACTGTATGGTCTGTTCTGCAGCGTGGGGCTCTCTGCATTTATGTGCTCTTTTGTGTTTCGTCCATGATCCTAGTATCTTCTCTGTCACTGTTTCCATGCTGCACGTATTTTCACTCCTTGCACAGTCAATATCTCAATGTCTTAAACTGGTACAAACCAAAATAGCAGAAACTTGGAGTCCCCCCATGGTCTCCTTCTCTCCCTTGCTGCTCGGTTCTCCTTGTAGGGATTTAGAGATGAAGGCTGTCATTTATTAAAGCCATTTGGGGGTTCGTGTATGAGAAAGACGTTCCGAGTTGGGTAGCTGATGACAGCGAGTCTGGAAGGCTTCATTCCCATCACAGCAAGGCTGTTCTCCCTGCCAGGGCTGTTTGGCAAGATGGGAGAACCTGCAGAGCTGACTGCTGTGCTCTGTGGTTAATACATAAGCAAGCATTCTTCTGACAAGTGTTCTGGCTCTTCTCATAAGGGGGGGATACTTGACTTAAAATCATGTTTAGGATGTCTTTCACGCTGTCTGTTCTCCAGGAAAAGCTGGATGGAACCTCAGTGTCTTAACCCTGTTTGTAAGGCGACCTTTGCTCTGTGTCATTGGTGATGGTTGAGTGGCTGCCACTTACCACGACCCCTCTGTGTTAAGCAGTGATTGCTGTGGCACAGCATTAGGAATGCAAAAGATAGTTCAATGAAGCAAAAACACAAATTTCCCCAGAACTACAGTAAAATACCTCTTGTAGCTAATTATCTGGTTAGCTAAGATGGTAATATGTGATTCACTAAAAGGCTAAATAGATTATGCAGAAATGGGAGATTGTTGTAAAAGCTGTTGATTGCTTTATAGGCTGTTAATTAGTTAACACAATGATAACAGCTGAGAGGATCAGAAGGATTTGAGTGTCATTCTATGAATACCTGCATCTCCCAGTCTGCTTGCAAATTCTCTCATTCTTGATATGCTTCAGGGATGGGGCTGAGCCTCCTGGAGCAGGGAAAGGTAAATTACTTCAATAATAACAAGCCTGAGGTTATCCACATTGCCCAGCCTGGCATCCTGGCAGTGGTGCTTTGACATGAGGATTTGGGGAGGTGTTCTGTAGAGCCACTCCGAATTGATCAGTGCTGACCCCAGGCTATGAATGCGTGAAGGATGTGCGATCTTCAATGCAGATCCAGACTCCCAGCCTTGAAAGTAGGAAGGATTGTTAAATCAGAAGGGAATTCCACCTCCCCCTTTAGGTTTTGCACATTCCAAGGTAGAGGGATGCAAGTGGGAGTGAGGGAGCCCAGCTGCCCACGTATGCAGCAGCTGGGACGGGCTGGCACAAAACAGCTGTGCTGTGGGTCCCTGTGAAAGCACACTTGTTTGTTAAAAGAAATATGAAGCTCCCAAAGTAAGCACCCTGGGAATAGGGAGAAACAAGAGTTTCTGTGTACAAAGGACTGAACTCCGCAGGGAGTGCTCTCAATCACTGTGCAAGCCAGGAATTTCCTGGTGCAGCCCTACATGGTGTTCTTTCACCAGCTGAGCTTCAGGCAAAGGCAATGGCTGGAGGAAAACACTGCAGATGAGCCAAGGTTAATTTCTGGGAAAGGGCAGGACTTTTTCTAAACCAGTTCTCTCGTTGCTTTGTTTGGAGCTGCAGAGTTACAGAAAGGGGAAAAGACAACAGAGGAGACATCTTCCACTGTCCCATATTCTACCCATTCAGTGCTAAAAGGGAGATAACAAGACAGATCTGATATTTCAGTTTAACTTGAGTTAGACAAAAGTACTGTGCGTTTTCTGCCTAAAATGTAAGAAAGCTTAGTGGGATTTTTTTAGCATAAAATAACCTTTTTATTTTGTAAGATGTGAAATTAAGAAACGTTATGTCTTCAGTTAAAATCAGCCTTATTTGCTGTGCGTCTTCCTCTTGAATACTTTGGATGCTCACTGAGTTGGTTTCCAGCTACTTGCAGAGCTACTTGTCTCTTCCTAATCTTAATTTTATAACGGCCTCAATTCTGGTTGAAGCCCATTGTAAAAATAATTGTTGAGCTTTTAGGAATGAAGCATGGAATTCTTGCTTTAAAATATGACTTCAGATGCTCTGTAGCTCACCAACAGCCCGATGGCATTTCAGAGCATTCATTCACTTAAAATAAGTGTCCTTAAAAGGCTGTTTTAGAGGGAGAAATAGCTGTGTGTTCTCTAAATGTGATAGTCGAGGCAGCAAAAACAAAAAAAAAAGGTGCTTTGGGTAGAAACTAACAGCAAGAAGTGTTTGTCAGTCTTTTGCAATTTGCTATAATGTGCTGGAGCATGCAAGGAGCCCAATCCATGCGCATTCCCTATCGAAACGTTTCTACTTGCTTAAGTGGGTTAACCCACTTAGCTCTTATTTTATTATCTCATTAGCAATCAAAAAAAAAACATGTTTTAGGGTTCCAAATCAATGCGGTTACATGGACAGCCCTTGAAATTTGCCAGAATCCCCTGGACTCCACTAATTCTAATTGAAGTTGGCACAGATTTGAAACGCAGGCAGCGATAAGCTGTTCGAAGTCTTGGAGCACTGTGAAGAAAAATGTGAAATGCTTATTATGTGAGGTTATTGGATCACGTTTAACCATTTTAGGACAAAGATCATTTTGTTGGGGTCCTAAAAAGTGGCTCCACATGGTGATGTGCATTCCTCTGCAATTCAGCACGTATCGTTGTACGTGAACTTGGGGTGATAAGTAGCAGAACTTGGCTGCAATTCATGGAAACAAGCACTGGAGTCCTTTCAGCCTTTAGTTTTCAACGGGATGAAAATAAATGTTGTAGGTGTAGGGCTGTGCAGGCTGATGGCTGACTTTGCAGGTAATGGTAGCCCACAGCCATCATCCACATTGCTCTCCCTCCTGCCTGCAGTCGTCACCTCTGCTCCCATTGCTGTGGGCATGGCACAGACTCTCCCAGGAAACTTCTTCCCTTTGATGTTGATTTCTGCTGGCTCAGTTCTGTTACGAATGCACTGATTGTGTTTTCTTCTTCCAGAGATTTACGTTTCAACCACATCAGGGAGATACAACCTGGGGCCCTCAGGAGGCTGAAGAACCTCAACACACTGTAAGTCCCTCTTGGTGATCCTGCCGTGAGGTTTTTTCTTTATGACTGATGTTAGCACTAGCTGCCTTAAGGGCTTAAAGATGGCCTAGGTTTTACTTACTTATTTCAGCCAAATTGTACGTATCCAACTAATGTGTCACGATCATCTCTGCTCTACCCTGCATTGTGTGAATTACCCTTTTGAATCAAATGTGCCATCTAGTAACTTACATTGTGGTAATTAACCCTGTCTTTTAAAAGGAATGATTCCTGATGCATGCTCTACTGCCTGAAGAAGTGTAGCTTTAGAGTAGCCCGTAAAAAGAGTTATGGCCTGGGGTCAAAATGATAGAGGGATGCATTAAGAGCTGCTTCGTTTTCACAGTGCTTCAAATGCATAAACCACATCAGCTGCTCTGCGTGATGGTACTGAAGTGAGACTGCATCCTTCCAAATGCCAGACTGTCGCTGTGCTTTGCCTTAAAATAAATGCTAGCACCTACCTTATTGCAGACAGGGATGAGAGCGTAAGGCAGTTCCTTTGGTTCTGCATCTCAGCCAGAGCAGGCATGCTGACACCACTGTGATGTACTGCTTTACTGACAAGTTTCTCACTCCGATCAGAGGAAGTAACAGGAGCCTTTGCTGCTTCTTGCTGCCATGAGGCTAAGGGTTTGAAGATAGATATGAGTACATCTGCATTGTGTAGCCAAGGAGCTGAATCCAAACCAGCTCCCAAATTAGAAACAGAACTGTGCTGAATGTAATTGGCCTGTCAAGGCTCAGATCTGATTATTCGAGCTGTAGCATGGCGCTAACAGCTATGAGATTGCTAGGTTTGAGCTTGAGCCTCTCTGTGAGGCGACCAGCTAGTTTAGGACTTGTGCACTGCATGGCAGACATGTTTGTATTTCCTGGCTTCAAATGTCTGTGGTTGTAAACAGCAAAAAAAAAATAAATGTCCATACTTGTTTTTTTCTGACTATGGGAGATTTGAACCTGCTCCAGTAGAGATGGCAGTGCTGAAAGAAGGAATACCTGGGCTGTAAGTTCAGACAGCTGTAAGAAGCTGTAGAAAGGGTAAGACTACAGGAGTGCTCTGTCACGGAGACTTGTTTAATTGCTGTGTTTTAAAAATCGGTGCTTGCTAAAGTTTGTTTCACTGCATGCTGGGGATTGACTGGCCAAACCCTGTGGTGTGGCTGCAGGATGCCTGTGCCCCTGCTCACAGGGGAGGAGCTCAACTTGTAGACTGGTGGAAAATGTGATTTCCAGAACTCTGCTTGGCCAGAGTACAGGAACAGCCCTCATTAGTATCTCAGACAGCACTGTGTGGTACCGAATGATTTTTGGTAATGACCAAAAATAATAAGAAAGATCCAGAAAATTAATATTGATGTATTTCTCTAACTGAAGATGACCATATTTCTTACCTCATCTGAGCTCAAAATATAGGGCCGGAGTTTGGAAGGCTTTACCTTATCACAAAGTTCTTCTGAGGCATGGTGATTTTCCATCCTGCTCCTCCAGCACTGAAGCTCTCCTGATTCAAGAAAACCAGCTCTTCCAAGTGGTGTCTCTTGGCTTTCTGCCTCCACGTGCAACTGGATAGGGACCTCAAGGGCAAGACTTCCATGAGCAGATGCAAAAGGAAAGAGGATTGAATGTACCTTCCTCTCAACCCCCCACGACCCTAATCTCATGGTGATGGATGCTTGGGCAATAGGAAGGATGTGTTTTGTGCAGATGGTGGACAGGCTCTCATGCTTTCTCTGAATAGTGTCTTACAGCTCTTACCAGAGCTAGAATACTGGGCTAGCTGAAAAACACTGCTCTCACAAAGTATGGCATTTTAATATTTCAGTTCTGAATATCAGCTGTTTTTATAAATGAAACCTTACCATTTAGATAGCAGCTCCTGTGCTCCGGTTTGTTTCCTGCTTTGGTCAGCAAATTGGGAAGATCAGTTATTGTCACACTCAGAGGTTACTGAGTTCCCCATTTGTGAGTGTTAACAGGAAGAGGCAGTCAGACCCTGTGCTCCTAATGCAAGGTTCTCTTGAGGAACTCTGGTCTGTCTAATTCCCACATCAAAACTGACAAGAGCTGAAGAATTTGCTGTTGTTTCCTACATGGTAACCTTTTGCCTCAGGATTTATATAGGTTTTCAAGTGATAAGTTTTTAAAGGTCCCAAAGAGATGTGCTGGGTAAATTTGGCCAGAATACTTGAAGCGCGTGACTTAGAGGACAGAGGAGCTCAGGTTCCATCTGTGGGAGCTCTCAGACCACAGCTGTCTGCCATGGGATTCTCAGAACTAAATGTGCCTTAACCGAAAATAAGGCTTTTGAAAGAGCCTTTTCCTGCAGCACTCTGACCTGGCAGAGGAAGGGCAGTACAGTTGGGTGCATTTTCTGTTTTGTGTCTCCATCCGGGCAGGATGGCTGTGAATATTCAAGTTTGACAGTTTGTAAACCACCCTGATTAGGAAACCTTTGTGCCTTGCACTGGAGCAAGGAGGTGAGCTGACAGAAGAGGAGCCTGTCCTGAGTGCCCATGGGGCTTTTTAAACATCCTGGGTAAAGTTCAGACCTTCCCCTGGCTCTCTGCCTTCCTCTCCCTGATGCAGGAGGTTTGATAAATTACAGAACACTACTTTAAAATTAAAAGCAGTTTGTATATGGAGGAGCTGCAGTGATTACATGCTTCTGGCAGGGGACTCGTGATGGAGCAGCACAGGTAACAAGCAGTTATCTGACATCCTGCCCTGCTGAGAGCTCACTTGTCAGCTGTCTGCAGCATTGTGTGCGCTGGGGGAATTATTTGGGGCCCAAATTCTTGGAGCTGTAAGGCTTTCTCATCCCTTCCTTCTGCTTCTTAAAGACACACAGTGGTTTGAGTTGGAAGGTACCTTTCAAGGCCCTCTGGTCCAACTCCCCCTCAGTAACAGGGACACCCACAGCTCCATCAGTGCTCAGACTACTTAGGAAGCATCACGTGAGAGCAAAAGGCGTTCTGGTGAGCTCTGCAACTCTCCTTCAGATGCTGCTTGTGAAATGCACTGGAGGGAGTAAGGGAGTAACTGATGGTGCTGTTTGGGATCTTCTGGTGCCTCATAGAACCGTTAAGGTTGGAAAAAAGCTCCAAGATCCCCAGCCCACCCCTCTGTGCCTGCTCAGTGCCATACCTCCCTCAGTGCCATATTGCCACAGCTCTGGAACACCTCCAGGGATGGTGACCCCCCTACCTCCCCCTAGGCAGCTGTGCCACTGCATCACTGCTCTTTCAAAGGAGTTGTTCCTAATATCCAACCTGAGGCTCCCCTGAGAACACAAATCCCTGTGAGCAGCCCGCGTGTCAGAGCTGCTGAATCTTGGAATAAAAGTTTCATTCTCAAATATGGGAAATGGCTATTCCAGATCATTCCGTCAACAAGGGAGAATGTGTGGCTCAGTGTTAAGCTAGCTTTTTCTCCCCCTTTAAAAATACAGTACACGATGATTTCTATTAATGGTGGGAGGAAAAAAGTAGCTGTTGTGTCACGATGACTGCAGCATGTGGTTTGTCAAATGAAAAGAGGAAAGAGTAGATGTTCTGAGGCTGAATTCTGTACTGTCACATCATTTAACACATGCTTCAAAATAGAAAAATGACTCACTGAATGCAACTTAAGCCTGTGCTTGGCAACCTGGAGATGGGGTGGGGAAGGGAGAGGGAGGGACAGACAGAACATAGAACCTAAAGGAAACTCAATGTGAAATGTTCCCGTAGTGAATACAGGCCAGATCTCATGGTGCTTGTGTATCACAAGCCTCCCAGAAGAATTTTCAGGAATAAAACCTGCATGACTGAGTACATCTATTCATTCTGAACCAAATTCACCAGCTGTCATGGAGGGGAATGCGCATCATTTGGCTGTCTTGGTAAGCTCCAGGAAATGTACTTCTGATACCTTTGATTTAGCTTATTTTGCTGCAGGGTACGCTTCAGACATGCATCTATAATGATCTTTCCAGCTTCTGTCTGCCAGAGCATTTATTCCCAGCAGATCTGGTTAGTAGCAGGACTTTGCTTTCAATTCTCCGTAACGTTACCAGGAATTTGGGCGTTTTGCTATGATTGCAGCTGGGATCAATATCCAGCTCATGCAAATCATGGCCAGGATTTTGCACGCTTCTTTGCCTGAGTGAAGTGCACAGGAGTCCAGGAACAGACAGCTGTCCACGGGCCATCTGAAGTCTTCCTGGGTTCCAGATGTGCTGTCTTGTCCATGGATTTCCCTGGAAGCAGCTCTTTGGAATATATGCAGCGTGATAGCCTTCATAAATTATATCAGTTTTGAGTGTATTCCAGGACATATCCTACTACAATAGGGAGTCCTGAGACAGGAAGCAGAGATTGCTTCTTCCATACACTCGTTAACCTTTAATCAGGCAGTGAATAATTCTTTTGAGTATCAGACGATGAGATAAGAGGTCGGCATAGCGTGTGCTATTTGAACTCCCAGAGTTGCTCTCATTTGGCTCAGATCACTGTCCTATTGCTGAGACAACAAAAGGGGTTTGATCAATGTTTTTCAACAGCACCAAAATTCAACGGGCCAACGTGTTGCAATTAAATCTATAGCTTTCAATCCAGGTCTAAGCTCTCTGTGTTAAAAGGTTGGCCAAGGAGCTCAGGCCGTGGTGGACAATGGGATAACCAAGGCTGTCAGTGTGTCTGTCCACAGGGTCTGGTGCTGGCAGTCCTCCTGTTCCCTGTGAAATGAGTGTTGGTTGTATGGTAGGAGACAGGTGGGAATGACATTGGAGCTGGCACCTGCTTATCAGCCCATCCAGCATCCTCAGAAGTGTGGCCAAGGATCAGATAGCAGGGAACAAGCTGCCTTCTTTCTTGTCTGGCTGCAGATGAAAGCATGCTGAGAGAGCAAGGGAAGGAGCGTGTGCAGTTGGTGCCTGTGTTGTCTTTGTCCCATAGGTAAATGGACAAAAGCTCTCTCCTGTGCTGTTCTTGAGCAGTTATTTCCAATCCTTGGGTGTTCAATTAACAAATAAACCTTTGGGTTGTTTTTCAGGGACTGTATTTCCACACAGCATATTTGGCTGTCAAAGCATGATAGCATGTTCCAAGAGCTTGACATCATTTTTGCATCCTTATGAGCAAAATTGGGTCATGTAGCCTCAACCATGTGTACAGAGCCATTGCTTCCAGCTGTGCAGAAACTTTCCAGCATGTCTCTGCCTTAACCTCTTCTGGTTGCTTATCCACAATGCTGACTATGTGCAGTTTGGCAGTGGCACTGAAGTTTGGGATGGCTAAATAACTCATTGAGAGACCACCGTGAGGTATTCTTTCAAAACCTTACTGCTTTGACTTCCAAACGATTAGGGGGGGCTTACACTCAAGTACCACATGTGCTTTTGGGACCTCTCATGCAACTCCCCACCTGAAAACAAGCTGGTGGAGGGTTGGTGCGGCTCAAGTGGCTGAAGGCAACTTGTGAAGCTGCCATAACACATCTGTGCTTCTGAGATCTTGCATCCCTGGGGCATCTGATTGTATTTTCTTTACCAACGTGCTTTTTTCCATTTCTCCTCACTCCGTTTCTTCTCTCCTCCCTTTACCTATATACCTATACAAACCCTTGCTCCCAGGAAGGAGCCTTTGCTCATAGTACCAGAGGCTGTCTGATGTGCTTTCTACCCTCATTTCTCCATCAAATAGGAGCAAAAAATTGGGCTTTCCTGCTGGGAAATGACAGAGCTGTCTTCTCTTGTGTTGTCAGGTGCCAAATTGCTTCTGAAGGGCACATTTATCCCCAAAAAAGGAAGAGAAACAACTTGGAAAATAAGCTCCATGAACAGTCTGAACCGTTCTTACATTGAATTTAACTTGATATTGTAAGGTCTGGCAGCTTACAGAGGGAATAGCAGTTTTCCTTCAACACAGAAAAACAAATCTTTGCAATATGAAGTTGCAACTCTCCTTTTTGTCCACATCTCCAGTTAGGAACTTCAAAACTAAGGTGAAGCCTTTACTCTGAGCCATCAGGCTATGACACCCACCAGTGGCCACAGTAAGTTTTGCTGGATCTGATACTGTGGGGAAAGACCCAAAGGAGTGGTGCAGTTAGGCAGCCACGGTGTACAGTTAAATCCTGCCCATTAAAGAGCTATTTTTAAGTTATCTATTGAGGTTTTTGTGGTGTTTGGCTTGGCAGTGGTTGCATAAAGAGTTTCTGTAGCATTCAGCTGTGTGGTCACCGCCGCTGTGGTGGTTACAAGGGTGAATTGCCTTTCTGGTGGCTGGCATTCATTTGCATCCACAGTCATGGCAACTGCACATAAAAACCAGAGATGCCTGCCAACACGATGCTGTTCATAGATCTTGTATTAAAATCTGGCGCAAGGCTCTCTAGATTGAAAGAGGCTGTTTGTGCACAGCAGCAGATACAGGATCTGTAGTATTTATTTATTTTTCATACGTACCAATTTGTATACAAAAGGGATTTAAACCAATGCCTTTCCATTTAACAACTCTTATAACCCGTGCAGTGGCACTCTGAACTGCTTTCGTACAGTTAAAACCTGGCTCTCCTCACACAACCTTGCATTCCAAAAACCTGTGCAGTTGTACAGAAACAGCAGCAACGATTGAATTTGGACCTCCCCTCTGCTTCCAGCTGTCTGTCTCCCTTCCCCTCATCCTTTTTCTAGTCTAAATTGGGACTTCTGGGTGAAGACCACCGTGGTGAAAGGTAGGGAAACACCTTTGAGTGCTGTATATATTAGAAGCACATGGCGACTCTGGGCAAGAGATGTTTTTGAGTTATCTGCTGTGAACATCCCAGCTGTGGCCTAATAAACCCTTTTAAATCTTAAATTCTATGCATTAAGGATTTCTGTGGCCAGCCAGCAATACAAATGCTGTGATTTCACCAGCTGTATTTTTGTTTCTTGCTCTGAACAGGCTGCTGAACAATAATCAGATAAAGCATATCGTGAGAAGATCCTTTGAAGATCTGGAGAACCTGAAGTACCTGTGAGTGGATAGCTCAGTAATCTCTTAATTTCTTTGAAATTGAAAAGCTCACTTCTAAAGTTCTCGAGTGAAGGGTGTGCTTTGTGCACTCAGAATTTCTGGATGTCAGTGTTGTAACTGTAAAATATTGCCCTTGAATTCAGTCAGAAAGCTCTGCTTTGGATTAAGGTTCATAGCTGTTTCCTGTGTCTTTTCAAATACGGCTGCTGTGTGGTTATTCTGATGCATTTCTCTCTCTCCTTTTCAAAGCTACCTTTATAAAAATGAAATTCAGAGCATCCAGCAACATGCCTTCCATAGGCTGCACTCCCTGGAGCAGCTGTAAGTATACATGATGTGTGTCAGAGCTGAGCTGTCGGCTCGTCTAACCCGAATTCTGCACTTCCAGTTGTGGACTTAGCAGACAGTGGGATGTCCAGCTTTGTTGTCCAGCTTTGCAGCATTGCACTGGCTTCATTGCATACAGCTGGTCCCAGTATTGATCTGAGGACTATTCCTATGACATCCTATATGTTCTCTTCCAGCCCCACACCGCTGAAGCATAGAATAGCTCAGCTGTGCTTCCGAATACTTTTGCATCCACAGGCCTTCTAATGGGAGGGAAATACAGACATGTTTGGTGGCTCAAAATAGAGTGCAGCTGCCCCCCTGTGTTTGCTGTGACTCCTGGAGCACAGTGTAGGGTCTTAGGGTCTGGCTGATCTCTTCAATTGAGAGCAGTATAGTGTTTCTTTTTTTGTTGGAAGCAAATGGATGAAATGCATTCTGTGAGCTGGGGTTGGAGTGTTTAAGAAAGCGACCAGGAAGGTGATGCCTGCATGCATTAAAACATCTGGAAATTCCAATGGGGAGAAGATGATGAAGACAAAGAAGCTAAGTGATGGCCTTCCCTCCAAGCTGTGTAGTACTCTGTGATGAAAGGAGCCTCGTGTGTTCTGCTGGCAGCTGGAGCCTGTCACAGTGAGGTTCCTGCTCTCCTGCTTATTGCAAATCTGCGTCATTTGTTCTAAGTAGTTTTGTTTTTAGACTGTTTTAGTGCTCCATGCTCAAGGTGAGATGGAAGGACTGAGCTCTGACACTCTTCTTGCGTCTTACTAAACTGGGATTTGATTTTTCATGTAGGTGTCATGATATGTTACGTGCACGTAAGTAAATGTGTGTGCCAGAAAGAATGTAAGCGTGGGTGTTTCAAGTGCAGGCATTATTTGCATCATTGGAGAACAGTCAGCAAAGGTGAAACCTCTAATTCCTGGATTGTCCCAGATGACACTTTGTAGGGCTTGAATGTGACTAGCAATTTTGCTACAAAAGGAGTAGAATTCAGCTTGTTTTCCAGGCTGACAGCAAAAGTGGAGGGAGCATAGCAGGATGTTCCAGCAATCCCAACACTAGCTGTGTTCCCATCCTAGTGTATGGGATGGGTTTATGGGTTTCCTTCATCCAGCTCTCCAGTGATGCCTGGGAGAAGACTTAGGAAGCGGATCCTGGCTGGGCTGTGCTTGCAGAGATGGTGCTGGCCATAGAGATGCTTTAACAATGAGCGTTCCAGACTTGATGTCATGAAAAAAAACAACAAAACCACAAAACCAACAAACAACCCTCTGAAAGGCCCATCTGTTTTCAATCTCTCAGGCAGGCATGGTTCCAGAAGAATTAGCTTTGCTCAAATCCTACTCCATTTTCCTGTACCCCACAGGCCAGCTTTTCAAGGAGAAGTATAACCCAGTTGATAGACAGTGTCAGGTGTTTTCCTCAAGGTCCAAAGCAATGACAGCAGATATCTCAAACTTCCTACAGCACATTTCCCTCTCCCCATGCTTGCTCCCCACCACAGGATCTGAGTCAGTGCACCTTGGTTCGTGCTCTGATAGCAAACCATGCATTGTCACCCCTTCCATTACAGATCAAACAGCCATGCGGAGGCTTAGGCAATTATTTCTTAATGCAGTCAGCTACAATAGCAGAACGAGTATTTGTAGATCCATGATTAATCAGTTTCCACTGTGAAATTTATGCCTGTGTAAAATCAGGGGGGGAGAGTTTTGGCAATGTTCAGAGTGCACTGAAATGCCTCTAAGGGTCAGGAACATTTCAGTTATGTTAGTCATGTCACAGCAGATGGGAAGAGGGAATCTCGGCTCTCTTGGTGTGTTGTTGCAGACCTCAGGTTTCCTTCCCTGATGGCAGAAGGTGACGTGGGACAGTGCAAGAGATCTCCTACACCTGTGGGCAGCAGCTCGCTTGGGATTTTAGTGGGACTAGCAATACTAACCTTCATTAACAAGAGCAGGGCTGTTTACATTGATGTTCCATTTAGATCATGGTATTCCAGCTGACTGCATCTCTGTTTTTGGAGAATGTGTTTTCTGTCTGCAGAAGCTGCATAGCCTGATGGCAGCAGGTTCTCTTGATGTTTCTGTTCTCACTGTGTGGACTCGCTTGCTGGGAACTCCTGTTAGCATTGCAGAGAAATGTATGCTGGAAGAGACCTCTGGGTGTCCCCAGTCTGACTTCCAGCTTCAAGCAGGACCAATTTCGGTTTTATCAGGTTTTTCAGAGCCTTTTACTACAAATGAATTGTTAGCAAACTCATGACCCTCTCAGAAAGGCTGACAAGTGTTTTATACCATGGCAATGTATTCCACCCCAAGGGGAGGCAGAGGCATGAGGGCAAGGTGTGCAACCATCCAGGTGTGGCTGGATGGGGAGCTGCAGCTGCAGGCTGCCTGTGGGAGCAGCTTTGTCCTCACACCTAACAATGCAACAGGTTCATGGTGATGGTGGTGGCTTTAGGTTTAGAAGAAGGGCAAATCTGACCTGCTCAGTATTTGCTGGAGTTTGTAAAGAGTGGGAGTAAATCATTTGGTATAGGGGAAATACAGCGCTGGTTATTTGTATGGGAAAGTTAGAGACAGTGAAGAAAAGGTTGGCTTCTGAACAGCATCTGCCCTGAGATGTGTGGTGACTGATTAGAGGATGTTGGTGCAGCGATTTGGAAAGATCTTCTGTCTTTCAAATTGAGATCTGTAACCTTGTCCTTTGCGGTTTTCTGTGGCAGCTACCTGCACTTCAACAACCTGGAAACCCTGGAGCCAGAGACGTTCAGTGACCTGCCCAAACTTGAAAGGCTGTAAGTAAAGATGTGACCTTTCATGTGAGCAAGGGGAGGGAAGAGGAAATAAACCTTTGTTTTCCGTATTTTGAAGCGAAGTGTGGTGACCTCCAAAATGGAGAGAAATGGAAAAAGAATCCTTAAAGATGCACATTATATGCACTTGCAAAGTAGGATGGTTAATGAGATTGGGAAGGGTTTTCTCGTCTTATGGTATGTTTCTATTTCACTAGGGGTAAATCTGTAGAAAGTCAATTTTATTCCAGATGTAAGGTCAGCATTAATCACTGCTGGGCAGTGTGGACAAAGTCACAAGGAAGTCTAACAAGAAAAACATGCATCCTACTTGGAAGCAGTGAGGAGTTAAGTTGTTGTGTCTCTAGTGCTGCTTGTAATGACTGTATAGCCATCGGGAAAGGGACACACACACAGATTCCTGCTCCATAGTGAAACCAACAGACACTTCTTTACTGCATGCAAACATGCCTTGCGTCTGTGCGTGGGGGGAAAACAAAACTGGGAGATCCAAACGCCCTCAGGATAAGTCAGATGTGGATCAGTCTGCCACGGCTGATCTCAGCCTCTGTGTTTGATCCAACAGAAATTCTGGATTTAAATTTCAGAGGAAGGTTTGTCAGCATCCAAGTTGGGCAGCTAGACTGTATGTGCCTGTACACGTGTGTGTGCAGACAGCTGTGTGCAAGTACACTGCTTTTGTATTTCTTTTTGGTTCCACCATCTACTACAACGAATTCTTACCTTTTGTAGATGGTCTCTTGTGAATATTGGATGTAATGAATAACTCAATTTTCTCCTTTAAGGAGGTTTAATTGTTCCATCCTGGTTGCCACTGGTGTGTTTCAGAGCAATCAGTGGTTGTTGTTTTTTAATTTTTTAACTGGAGAGTTTGAACTGGATCTGCTCATGGAGTTGGCTTAGTAACACTGAGTCTGGGGGTTGTCTGCTCTTGCTGGAGCCTTGCTCCAGTGGCTGCCCCATACAGCTTCCATGTCTTGTGCAGAGAGGAGAAGAAGGTCTCTTTCAAACTAGAGCTGACCCAGGTGCAGAAATCACAGGGTGGGTCTGATCCACAGGGATTTTGTGCCCTTTCTCCTCCCTTTGCAGAGCACGAAGCAGATTAACTTGAAGGTTCCAGTTTAAATCCGTGACATCACGCCTTGAGTCACCATTTCCAGTACACACCCGCTCTCTGCTTTGGTGTGCTGCACTGCACTCACAGACAAACTAAATCTCTGTAGCTTGTGGAAGCAAACACAGTAAATGTAAAAAGTGAGCTCCATCTTGGTGAGCAGCCTTTGTGCTTAAGCTGAGTTTTGACCCGGGATGTTACCATCTGCAATGCAAATAATGAATAATGTTTTGGCATGGGTTCTTCCATTGCAGATTCTTGCACAACAACAAAATTTCCAGGATTCATCCAGGGACATTCTCTCAACTGGAATCCCTCAAACGACTGTGAGTGAAAAACATTGCCTGCAAAGAGCATTTGTTTATCTTTGATCAGATGGCCAGGACCTGAGGAAAAATGTGCCTGGTTGGCAAAGCTTTCAGTTGTTGCACTTCTAAGTCCACTGTTAAGTTTATAAAACAGTTTTGGTTGGACGCAAGAGCTGATTTAACCAGTTAGTAGTTACTTCACACTGGTGTCTAATTAAAAGCTAGCTCTAATCTTCTTACAGCTCGCTAATGCCCCAGGTATGAGCATTCCTGAAAAGTCATCCCAACCCTCTGCAGCCCTACGTGCTCTGATCCCATAAAACATCCTGCAGAAACGTGGGATGTCCAGGCCGCACGTGGGATCTCAGTCATGTTTTCAGATTTGTCTTAACATGGAAGGAAAAAAAAACGTGCTCAGAGGAGTGCCACAGGTCTTGGTTCTCATCCCGGGAGGAAAAGCCCTGCTGTGTTGTTCCCATGTAACCTGACAGTCTCTTAATCTTGCATTTTGATTGCTTGTAACCCTTAGTACTTAGATTTGTTTGTCTTTTATGATCTGTGGAAAGAAGTTCTAAGATGCTTTTCTTTGGGAAGGGGGATAAAGCAACAAGAAACACAAAGAAATTTGGTGTTCTACCATGATTTTAAACTTCAAGAAAATAATGTGCTACTCAGTATCTCACCACAGCCCTCTGTGATTTCTGCAGGCAGGTAGAATGCTTCATTTTTTGAACAGAGAACAGCTCATGAAACGTTGTCTGCACATGTCAGAGAAAAAGATGTAGTGTCTATAAAAAGCCCTGTCGTGGCCTCGTGTGAAATCTCACTTTCTCAGATGTTTGTCCATTAAAACATTAGGCCTTTCCCTCACGTATTTATATGGCTAAGGCCCATCTACTATAAAACTGTCTGGGGAAGGAGACATAAGCTAATCCCCCAGCAGCCTCCTTATCCTTGCACGTAGCCCTGCACGTCGTAATGAGGTCAGTGGGAGGAAAGGCGTGGGTGCAGCTGGAGGTCACCAGTGCTCCCATTCGACATGTGCTGCAGCAATAAAAGTCCTTACAGCGGTGCAGAAATGCTACAACCTCTAGGATCAGATTGATTCCATGCACACTGAAATCATGGAGGTGTTGTTGCTGATTTCGGTGTGCTCTGGTAATGGCTTAAACAGGGGGATGCTGTTATTCCCATGTGTTACTCAGATGCATTGCGTCTTGCAGGCTGTCTGGTTGGTGAAAAAAGGGTGACCTTATAATGCATGTTGTGCTTTGTGCTCCTGCAAACGAGCTGCAGGATTGGATTTTAGCACTTGGGCAGTTAGATGTGCAACGCTACGCATAATTGGGTTTAATAGAACGATTTTCATTTGAAACTGGGATAGCTGACAGACGAAAGATTGTCAGCAAAATCACTGACTTGGTTGAGCACCCTATCTAAATGTTGTGGGAATGAACTATCTCAGATTCTGCTTTGGGATACGATCAAATGCCAGGCAGAGCAAGCAATTGGGAAGCTGGGGGCTGACATGCCTTCCCCTGCTCTTGCAGGCGGCTGGATTCCAATGCACTGCTCTGTGACTGTGACCTGCTGTGGCTGGCTGAGCTGCTGCAGAAATACGCCGAGCTGGGCAGCATCCAGACTGCAGCCACCTGCGAGGCCCCGCGAGAGCTGCACGGTCGCTCCATCGTCACCCTGACTGCCCAGGAGTTCAACTGTGGTGAGTGGGATGCAAAAACCTGCATGGCCTCAGGGCTGGGCTCTGGGCTTGGAACTGCTTTGTCCATCTGGGAGTGCTGGTGGGCAGTGGGCTGACCACTGAGCCAGCAGTGTGCTCAGGTGGCTGAGAAAGCCAATGGTATCCTGGCTTGTATCAGAAACAAGTGCAGCCCTGCATAGAGTTGAATTGGAACAAATGGGCTCATGATCTCTAGCACTTGGGAAGAGCAGAAAAGGTCTGGAGACAGCAGCTGGAACAGACTTGCTGCTATAGACTGTGCTGCACCATGAGCCATTGCTGCCACTATTGGAAATTTGTCCTGCTTTAGGCATGGGCGCACAGTGGGATGCCTGTCAAATCAGCCAGAGCACCTGTGGTGGGAACATTTTGCTGGCATTGGGCTATTATGCTGGTCTTGTGCCAGCTGGGGAAGACAAATGATGTATAATGCAGCATAAAGCCCTAACAATGCACAGAGCTGATATTTGAATCAGGATGGAGCCTGCTGGCATGAAGCTGACCCACCACTTCTTAGCAGATGTCAGCCAGCAGTGCAGGTTTGCACTGGTCAGCATTTTGTGTCACAGTGCTTTTGGTTCCCCATCAGCATCCTGGAGGTAGGTCACCAACTTGCAGCCTGAAGAACAAGGGCACAGGCCTTTCACTGAGCAAGGTGGCAGGTTCTCTCTTAATCTTATGAATAATCCAGCTGTTTTCACTGATCAGCATAGAGATTATTACACGAGTAAGTATTCTGCTGAAATGAGATCAAGTGCTTTAGACAACGTGCCTAAATTCCTTCCTATTTTAGCACATCCCTTGAATGTGTTTGGCTTGCTCAGTGCAGGCGTACATCTTAAAATGAAGCACGTAGTGAAAACCTCAGTTGAATAGGGTTGGCTCTATTCAGGGACATAATGAATGAAATTCTGTCAAAAAGGAAGCAGTGTGATTTGCAGAGAGCTGGCACTGTTCGGATGGAGCCAGCAGTCACTGAGAGCTGTGGGCTGCCAAGGGCATAAAAACGACCCGTGTGAGGATGCCACCAACTCTTTGCTTGTTCTGGGGAGCCAGGGGCCAACTCTTGATGAAGCTGCACATAGGGAGTTTTTGTGCCCTGTGTACCTGGGCAGAACAGGAGGCAGCTACTGGCACTCAGAATGGCCACAGCAATCCTCAATGGTACTCGGGCTTGGGGAGCTGTTCCACTGCTGGCATCGTTTTGCTGATGCTGGTAAGGAGTGTTGGGCTGGGTGCTGGTGTGCTCTGCCAGGGCCTGGTTGCACTGGAGGTGGTTTTGTGCTATTGGGTTGTGTGAAAATGTTCTTTTGCAGAAAGGCCTCGCATCACCTCAGAGCCCCACGACGTTGATGTCCTCTTGGGAAACACGGTTTATTTCACATGCAGGGCAGAAGGCAACCCAAAGCCTGCCATTATTTGGCTCCACAACAAGTAAGTGTCATACAATGAGCCGTGGGGTAGCAAAGGTTCCTACCAAGCCCTGAACTTTTCAGTGACTCCTGCAATTACAAAGGCTGTTTCACGCAGTGTTAAAGATACAGGAACAGGAATCCATTCCATGGATTGCTTTTACCTTCTTTTTAATGGTATTCTCTGATGACCGTGTAACCCAAGTTATCTGTATTTAAAATGTTTCATGTGTGTTGCAGTGCATTCCAAGAGTTTATAGCTCTCCTGCAAACATGCTCTGCGGGCTGAAAGCAATTGTCTTCTGATTAAAACAAAAAACAACAAAGTGTTTCACGTTGCTCTCAGCCTCCATATTTGCCATTTTTTAACTGCTGAAATGCTTCTTGTATCTGGATTTTTTTCTCACTGAAGGACCAGTGTGCTGGGTGTGTGCTTTTCTATTGAGGGGAAAATTACTGTGCTCCACTGAAAGACAGACCTTGCAGAGGTCTAGATGTATAGATGAATGTTCTATACAGCAATGCTGAATAAAAGTATGCCTATGCTAGATGCCAAATTTTCTGAGCAGTGCTACACAATAGAATATTTGGTGCTCAAGCAGTTACCCACTGAGGAAGTAAAGTTCCTGAGCTGCTTTACGAGCTCCTTGTCTGAGGGAGTTCTGAATAGGGGCTGGTTATTAATAAAAATGATCAATGTGTGCTCCTTCAGTTAACTCCCCACTAAGCAAAGTTTCAGCACAGAGCAAAAGTTTACGTCTGATTTAAGTCCCCCTGGAAGGAAGATTTTGCTGGGGAAATGCTGGCAGGCTCCCAAAAATAGCATTGTAAGAGGGATAATGATAATAAATGTTCAGCAAATGAGGTACGACTACAGTGAAGAGACATCAGAGGAATTAAATAAATGCCCAGCAAGCATGTTAGTTTGCATAGTGGATTCAGCCTTTGTCCTGGTGGGAGTGAGGTCCCCACTCCCTTCTCAATCATTTGCAGCCATCCAGGTCTCCTGCATGCTGGGATAAACGGGGTGCTGCAATGAGACCTGCAGCTGCGGGCTGAGCTCTGGAGACTGGAGCCATTGCAGAAAGAGGGAAGATGCTTCACAGCTCTTACATCCCAGACTGGAATCCAGGCTGCGGTGGGGTCCCGTGGTGCCTTTCTCAGAGGCTTTTGTCTCCTCTAAGGCTCTTGGGCCCACTCAAATAGGAATGACTGCACACAGTAACAATATGCATTTGTTATTATATTTACATTTAGTAAATAATAGGAGCAAGCTTTCTGAGCTCAGATGCATGGCAGTAGCAATAATGCTATTGCATGGGAACAGTATGCTCTCCTGATGGACTGTAAATGTCGCATGTAGTCAGCAGTGAGAGAGAAAATAGCTCATCCTGTCCAGGGAGTAAATCAGAGCTGGAGCTGGAGTTCAGTGCTCTAAATCATAACCTTTGCTATAAATGTCACGAAGTCTCAAAGCAGTGTCAAGGAACACCAATTTAATCTAATTCACGCGAAGCCCCCTGGCAGCTTGTGGGAAGAACACTCTGGCTTTCCCCCTTCCGACTTTGCCTGTCTGTGGCTGTTTTTCAGTAACGAGATTGACATGAAAGATGACAATCGCTTGAACCTGCTGCAAGATGGCACCCTGATGATCCAGAATACCAAGGAATCAGACAAAGGTGTCTACCAGTGCATGGCCAAGAACATCGCTGGGGAGGTCAAGACCCAAGAAGTTGTCCTGCGCTATTTTGGCACGCCATGTAATTGAACCTTGGGTACCCCTTGATGGTTTGGGAGTGTGGTTGGGGTTAGAAGTGGAGCTAATCTCTAAATCCTTACTTTATATGTGCCAAGTAATTCTTGGTGTGCTGGGGAGTAGAGTGGCTAATAGTACAATGCCATTTCTGGGGTGGTTCGTTCATGGGAGTTGGGAACTGAGAGGTTGGAGATTGGAGGTGATTTGGGAGCAAAGAGGAAATTTAGAGGCTGTGAAGAATTCTACAAAGTGATGGGGACGCAGGAGTGGGGAAATGTCAGCAGCAGGGTATGGGGAGGTTGTGTGAAAGAAGTGGGGCTGGGGGCAATGCTGAGGATTTGGAGGTCAGGGAAGAGCTAGATGGATGCTAGCTGGGCTGCATGGAGAGTCTGAGCAATTTCTGTCCATAAGCAAGCAGGCAGCAGGGCTCCTGGTTTCTGAAGCACTCATTTCCTTCCAGCCAAGCCCACTTTTGTGATCCAGCCGCAGAACACTGAAGTGCTGGTTGGGGAAAGCGTCACCTTGGAGTGTGGGGTCTCTGGGCATCCCCACCCTCGCGTCAGCTGGACACTTGGCACAGGCTCTCCTTTACCGCAGGATCCCCGCTTCACTATCACCAGCTCTGGAGGGCTCTTCATCCAGAACGTCACCTTCTCGGACCAGGGACAGTACAACTGCAATGCCAGCAATACTGAGGGATCCATCCGGGCGACGGCGAGGATCATAGTGCAAGGTGGGGAGCCCCAGGCTGGTGCCCTTTCTGGGGTGAAGTGCTCAGTGTGTGTTTAATCCCTGTGCATCGGGACTAGTTAATTTTTCATGCTCCCTCTGAGAATTAATCTGAGCTGTGCTGTGATTTGGTTTTTGGCTTTTTTTTTTATGCCTGCTGCTCAGTTACTACTTTCCCTTCCAGATTCTCCCAGGTTCCTCCTCATCCCCACTGATCAGACAGTAACCGAGGGACAAAGTGTGGATTTTCCCTGCTCTGCTGAGGGTCACCCCCCACCTGTGATTGCCTGGACAAGAGCAGGTATGGCCTCACTTGACTAGGGTTTTCTCTCTTTACCACCATCCACAGGGTATGGGAGAGAAGAGCTGTGTCGTAGATCACCAAGGATAATGTTAAGCACTGAGAAAGGCTGCCCAGAAAAGCTGTGGATGCCCCATCCCTGGAGGTGTTCAAGGCCAGGTTGGATAGGGCCCTGGGCAGCCTGACCTGATGGGGGTCAATCTGCCCACGGCAAGGGGTTGGAACTAGATGGTCTGTAAGGTCCTTTCCAACCGAAGCCATTCTGTGAGAACATATTCTCTTAGGTCATCATGTTGAAAGGAAGGAGTGTGCCATTTTTCATCAGCATGAAACTTAGAGAAATCCTTGAACATCCTCCTGCTGAGGCTTCTACCTCCTTTGGAAGGGCAGGGTCTGGACACCACCATTACCCAGCTCTCTGTCATTGCCATTGCTTTGCTTCTCTTGACAAGCACATAGCAGGAGAATGCTGGTCACTGCTGACACAGCTCTGAGCTTCCTTCTAGCTTAGGAAAAAGCACTTTGGGCCAACAGGTGGTGGTGAGCTTTTAAAGTCTCAGATGATTGTTAATGCTGTCTCCACCAGACTGATCCCATCTAGCACTTTCTGGGACAGAAGCCAATAATGCTTGGCCCAGAGGCCCTCCAACTTTTCCTTATGCTTCACAAGCCATAATTAATGGTATAGTGCCGTGGAGGATTCATGGCTATTGTATTCCAGCTTCCACAGCAATAGCCCTGACACGGGGTTAAGAAGGACCAGCTGAGATTCTCTACCACACTCTCTATCTCCTTTAACCCAGATCTCTGGTAGGGATGTGAAAAGGCCTCAGTGACAAGAAGTAAGATTAAGAAGGCAGTTTTGTAACCAGATTTGTAAGGTCATTTGGCAATGCAGCAATTAACCAAGCTTTGTAGCACCTTCATGTGTTACAGCCAGGACAAGAGGACAAGATAGGGTGGAGCAGAACTCATCCTCAGAGTCACTTCTGGCAGTGTAGGGAGGGTTCAGAGTCCTTGTGATATTTAATATTAATAAAGCCCTTATCTGGAAGAAGGTGAATATTTAAAGAAAAAAAGTCACCTAAGTTCTGACATTTTTGAGGAAGTTAATAAAATATCTATTTTGAATTTAAGTAGAGGAAATATTGGAACAGTGCAGTTTCTAAACTGAAGTCAGAATGCTGAATTAAGAAAGAGACAAATCCGTTTCCATGTATTTGATTAACACACATGGTTTGGTTAATTGAACACAGAGTTGCTATCCATCAGGTGTCAGGGAGCCTAAGTTCTCACTAAGTAAAGGCTTACGAGGAAATTAAAAACATACCATCTCCTTCCCATTGCTTAGACAAGACAACTCCATCATCGTCCTGGGTGTGGGAAGAGCAGCATCTGTCCTGTTCCCCTCTTAGCAAGATGAAGGCTGTATTTCATGGTGGCTGATGGCACGTTGGGGACGACACGAAATGTTGAACTTGTAGATACACCAGTGATGGGAGGAGAAAGCTGAGAAGCAACAAACTAATTGAGGTGTTTGTTGGAGCAGGGGGACCGCTGCCGAGCGACCGAAGGCACAGCATCCTCTCCACGGGGACCCTGCGAGTAATGAGGGTGGCCCTGCATGACCAAGGGCAGTACGAGTGCCACGCCATCAGTGCCATCGGTGTGAGGACCCTGCCCGTGCAGCTGGCCGTGACCCCGCGGGGTAAGCTGGGGCGGGGGGAAGCTCAGGCTGACAAATGGCTCTCGTTAAGTTGATGTCGTGGTGAATAAGGCGATCGGGGAAGTGTGGGATGGGATTTTGCTTTTGCCAGGCTGCAGAATTGAGGCCACCAGAGCTCCGTCAGTGGGTGGGAAACTTGAAGGAAGTTTGCAGAGTGCCGAGATTTGTGAGTTGGAAGGAGCTGCTTTGGTTTTCCTTCCTTGGAAATTTATTGAGCTGTCAAGAAAGAGTATAACCGTGGGAATGAAATCATCTGGGGAGGGCAGTGATTGGGGGAAGGGCCTGTATGCACCCCACGGACGCCGGGCAGAGCTCTGTGACCAAGGAGTGGCTTTGTACTCTAACACCCATCAGATGAGTTCTGTTAGCCAACCAGTTTGGGTGAGACGTGGGGCCCTTCATTGTGTTTGGAGCTTTTAATAAGGAAGCGATTTTGGGAAAGGAAAGGAAACCAAAGGTTTCTATTGGAAAATTTACAAGTTGTGTTAATTGAATTCTGAGTAATATTTATTTATTTAATTTGGGCCTTCCTATGGAACGAGTTGTGAGATTCCTTTTTTATTTTTTATTTTTCGTATTGAAAAATTCTAAAGAAAAACACCTGGTTCCCCCTCACCAAGGCATAACTCTGGCTCCAGGGGCATTTATCTTAAACGTTAGCTTACGAGGTCATAGGTTCAGCCTAAATTTAGGTGTTCTTGAATATTAAGCCTTTGTAAAAACACAAGTCACACAGGAATGTGTTTTGATTTTCTTTTTTATTCCCATATAAATAATCTTTCTACATGAGCAAACGTTCCTGCTCTTTCACAGACTTGACAGAATTTTACTGATGGTAGGCTGGGTGGAAGGAAACTAGAAACATGAAATTAGTTATGCTTAATGAAAAGGGCTCGCAGACTATTTTAAAAGCAGAAAGATCAATAGAATGACTTGATGTGACCTAACACTTGCCAGGTGGCTTCATCTGGTAACTCCTGAATCAATTCATAATCATCACTTCAGCTACTGCACCTCTCCTATGCAGAAAGGTTGAGGGAACTGGGCTTGTTTAGCTTGGAAAAGAGAAGGCTCTGGGGAGACCTCATTGTCGCCTTCCAATACTTGAGGGGAGCTTATAAGCAAGAGGGGGAATGGCTGTTTATGGGGGTGGATAGTGATAGGATAAGGGTAATGGTTTTAAACTGAGACAGGGAAGGTTTAGGTTGGATATTAGGAGGAAGTTTCTCACTCACAGGGTGGTGAGGCACTGGAACAGGTCGCCCAAGGAGGCTGTGGATGCCCCATCCCTGGAGGCATTCAAGGCCAGGCTGGATGTGGCTCTGGGCAGCCTGGTCTGGTGGTTGGCGACCCTGCAGACAGCAGGGGGTTGGAACCAGATGATCACTGTGGTCCTTTTCAACCCAGACCATTCTATGATCTTGCCTAGAAAGTCATTTAATGGAAGATTTTAAATGACAGAGAAGCCAGCACATTCGCATATAATTGCCCCAAACAGAGATGCACAAGAGTAGAAAGTAATGAATGTAAATGATGGAGGGCAGTCGTGGAGAGACAGAGAACACACTTGGGTTGGGAGAGCCCTTGCAACATCACAAAGAGCCATTTTCCCAATGGTGAGATGCTTTGCACGTGGATTTGTTTTCCTTCATGCATTTACTTTGACTCTCCCCTGCGCCTGCAGTGATTCCTGTGTTCCTTCACCCCCCACAAGACGTGGTGGCAGAGACAGGCCAGGATGTGGCCATCACCTGCGCTGCCCAGGGGGACCCACGGCCCACCATCACCTGGGTGAAGGTAAGGGGCACTGCACTGCCAGACCAACATTTCAACTATTTTGGGTTCTTAAACCCTTTAGGGTTTAAACCCCTTTTAGGGTTTAAAGGAAACATTGCTATTTCTCATGCTCAAAGCCTTGCAATGCACATTCCTGTTTTCTCTTGCTCTTCTTTCCAAAGAAGTAACATAAAGCCAGTGACCTTTCAGGATGTTAGGGATGCTTGACTGAACTATTCCCAGAGAAAACTGCAAACTGATTATTGTTTTCCTAAGTAGTTTTGCTTATTTCCAGGATTTCCACTGCTGGAACTGGATGGTGCTGGTTGGCTGTAGCTTAGATGGGACAAAGCCATGATCCTTCACAGTCAGTCTGCAGCCTGGCTGCTCTTTTGAAGAATTTCGAAGAATTCATTAGATGGAGCTCTTCAGGCTTTTCCTTGCTGTGCCATAGCACTACAACTCGGGCCTTTCCTGGCTACCAGGACATTCAGGCATGCAACAGATTACAGGGGAAATAGCTTGAGCCTCATTTCTCCTGTGGAGATCTGTGGAGAGCAGCTTTCCAACAGTGGAGCAGGAGAGAGGAAGCATTACATTGGGCCAAGACAGTGAAAAGATGTTAAGGAAAAGAAGAATGAAATAAATCTGAAGCCACCAGCCAGGCTGAGAGGTGGGGTCGAGCACAGCGCTGCTCAGAGCCAGCAAAAACTGCAATCTACAGCCCAGAGCCAGAAAAAAAACCCTCGGTTCCAGGCTACCCTCAAAGTTATTTAGACTTATTCCTGCAGCACAGAACTTCTATGCCAGCTCATCTGTGCAGAGTGCAGTGCAATGGGTGCAGCACCCATGTCCTGCAGTGAGTGCTGGAGGCAGAGCAGGCTCAGGAGCCGAGCACGCTGTCCTGCTGTCCTCGCAGTGGCTCCAGGCAGCAGCAGCTGTCCTCGGTTGGCTTTCTGCTTTCTTTCTTTCAAAGAGCAGTGCTAACATCTGGTGGCCACATTGGCTCATCGCATCCAGTTCGCTGAAGGCTGGGATGCAGGGGAGCTTTCCCAGCACTGACACCGTTTCTGTCTTTTTGAACAGGAGGGGATTCAGATCACAGAGAGCGGCAAGTTCCACGTGAGCCAGGATGGGACTCTCTCCATCCAGGATCTTGGCGTGGCTGACCAGGGCAGATACGAATGCATAGCACGGAACCCCTTTGGCTTCACCTCCAGCGCCATGCAGCTCACCATCACCGGTAGTGTTACCTCCTCCTGGTGCTCCTTTTTGCCCTTGGGCAAAGCAAGGATTATGTAGTGTTGATGGTTGTACTTTGGATGAAAACTCACTTCTTTAGCATTGCAGACAGGTTGCTCACAAGCATGAAGGGGAGAACCTTCTTAGCATGTGCCAGCACGCTCTCACGTCTGACCCCAGTCTCACACACACGGGGAAGGGAGAGGGAGAACAGCACTGCACTGTTAGTGCAAAGCAGGGGCTTAAACATTCCCTCTGTCCCCAGGGACTGAGCAATAAGCCTCTGCTTTTCAAGCAACTGCTCTGTGCATTAGGGAAAGTGGAATGAATAAAGAAGAGCAGCACTCCTCTGCTGGTCAAAGCAGAGGTCAAGTGTGGCATTGTGCTTCATAGAGGGAAAGGAAGAACTGATGAGGGGCAAAAATGCAAAGGCGAACAATGAGGTTAACAATCTGAGTAGAGACCTTTACTCGAGCACGTAGGAATTACCAGCAGGAATAGTGAGCAGCTTATTAGGTGAAATTAATATCATTTTCAGGGACTGTATGCAGGGGGCTGAAAATAATCTGAAATCTCTTTCTTACTTGAAATTATTCCCGAGATAATTTCTGTGATTTATTCTTGGTTTGTACCTCATTTCCCAGCTGCCTGCTGCATACGCCAGTGCTCAAATAAAGACTGGTTTGCTTCGCTGTGAGAAAGGCCCTGCCTCAAAAAGAAAAATACATTTTTTAGGAATTTATCATTTACTTCTGAAGGTATTCAGGCAACAGCATTCATTTTTGTTTTAAAATGGTGGTGTTGATGCGCTAACACTAACGAGTTGAATTTGAAGTGTCCTACAAATAGAAAATTAACATTTAAGTGATGCCTTCAGATGAATGTCATGAATTCTAGAAATGTCCTTTGCGGGAAATAAAAGCATTATTTTCAGTTCACCCACTGAGATTTGTACATTTTCTTTTTCCAGTTTAACCACCAACCAAAGCAGGCGTTCATTTGCAAAGCTGTACAGGAACAGATTCTGAATGCGTGTTGCACTGCCATCTCCTGGAAACATCACCTCTTTTTCTTCTTAATTAATTAAATTTAAAATGAGAATTTAATGTAATTTCTTCTTTAGAATATCTGTTAGAAAAAAGACACCAAAGTTTAACAGTGGTTGAATTACCAATGGCAATGCAATTTGACCTGCAGTAGAGTTACTTTGGGGCCAGTCCTCAGACAAATTTTCTTCAGCTTGGAAGACAAATTAATATCCAAGTAAATGCACAGTATTTATTCTCTCTTTCTGCTTTGGAAAGCCACGGACGTCGGCCGGAGTGGTGACACATTTGTAGCCACATCCCTGCAGGAAGCCATCAGCAGTGTGGACCATGCCATCAATTCAACACGCACTGAGCTGTTCAGCAGGTAAATATGTGAAGGGCCAGGATCTCACATCTCATTGTGAGAGATGGGGAGCAGAGGCACTGAATGAATCTTTCTGAAATCTCGTTTTGTCATTGACCATCCGCAAATGAAAGCGACTGGATTGTCCAGGGTATTGAAGGTTGAAGCTGTACCATGTAGATGTAAGGATGTGCTAGGATTTCATAACAGGAAGGTGTTTGGAATCCTGGAAAGCACTGATATATTAATGGCTCTTCTTACATTACATACATCTACTGCATGCATTTTATCAACTGGAGTTGGCTCCAGAGACAGTACACAGAAAAAAATCATAGAATCATAGGATCACCAAGGTTGGAAAAGACCTAAAAGATCATCCGGTCAGCATAGTCATTTTGTGAGTGCAATTGACTTTGTGCAAGGGAAGTGGAATGCTGATACAATTCTTAGCATTTCCTCAATGAGAAATGTCATCTAAGAGAATGAAAACCCCTTCCATTTCTGTTCCAAAATTGCTCTGAGCGCTGTGTGTTTATTTTGATGTTCTTCTATCTCTTCTAATTCCTTGGGACAGACGCCCCAAGACACCCAACGACCTGCTGGCCCTCTTCCGCTACCCAAGGGATCCTTACACCATTGAAACAGCCAGGGCAGGTGAGATCTTCGAAAGGACTTTGCAGCTGATTCAGGAGCACGTGCAGCAAGGTTTGATTGTGGATATGAATGTCACAGGTAAGGGAGATTTATTTCCCTTTGTAATCACATGGGTAGAATGAAATTAAAATAACAGTGTGTAGGCATGCAGAAAATGTAAAAAGTCTTGTGCAATATTGTGCCCAAATGTCTCCATCGGTTATAGGTATGGTAAGAAATGTGTTGTCTGAGTTGCAGTTCTAAGATCTCATGGGTGTCATAACAGCCAGAGGGTTGTGTGGCTGCTGAACCAGCTCAGCGCTCAGGAGAGTAGTTCAGTTTTGCTAAACATTTCCTGATTGTCTATGCAGACATTAATGATCCCTATGAACATTTACCACATTCACCCATCTAACTCCCACAGCTTCGGAGAGGGGCAGAGCATCAGAGTGCCTCTGTGGGTCTGAGTTTTGGTCATAGAATCACGAAGGTTGGAAAAGACCTCCAAGATCCTCAAGTCCAACCCCAGCACACCCCACTGTGCCCACTGCCCTCATCCCTCAGTGCCACATCTCCACAGCTCTGGAACATCTCCAGGGATGGTGACCTCCCCCCACCTCCCTGGGCATCTGTGCCACTGCATCACTGCTGTTTCAGATATGGAATTTTTCTTAATATCCAAACCGATTTCCTGCCTTCCAAGTGGCAACAAGCAAAATGCTGAAAACTCTGGTGTGTTTGGATTCTGAAAGGGGATCTTACTCCTGATTTTTGCCATATGTGGTCTTTTAGGACTTTGACCTCCTAGCTACATACTCCCACATGTCCCAGCCACTCAGATTCCTCTTTTTAGGACAAGATATCAAGCACCACAGAAGTGGAACACCACGGTGCTGTGCTGGCCAGAGATCACAGAATTGTAGAACACCCTGAGAAGGCACCCTAAGGATCGTCGAGTCCAACCCCTGGCTCTGCACAAGACCACCCAAAAATCAGACTGTGTGCCTGAGAGCAGTGTCCAAATGCTTGTTGAACTCGGGCAGCTCAGGGCTGTGACCACTGCCCTGGAGAGCCTGTTTCATGCCCACCACCCTCTGGTGCAGAACCATTCTCTGATATCCAGCCCAAACCTCCCCACAGATCCCTGCAGAAATCTAAGTGCCCCGCAGTAGCCTTCCTGTGTTTGGACATTTCCTTTCATTGCACACTGCTACCTATATGTGTTGATCATTGTGTAGCAGGCATGTATGTTTGGGCCTGTAAATACTCTATGCCTGCCTGGATCCACTCCAGGCTGCAGGGAATCTCCCTGCAAGCTGCAGGTCAGGTCTGGGCTCATTGCCCTGCCAGTCTCTCCCTGTTCCTGCATACACCGCAGCATTATTCAGCACATCGCCGAGTCACCAGCAGCTTCCCTGCTGCTCGTCACGTAGTTTGGGTGATCAGTGGTGCTCAGGGTTGCAGCATTTAATCCAGAGAGATGTGAAATAATCCAGTGCTGACTGCAGAACCAGGAACCAAGCCACCTTGCTGTTTGGTCTGCCAATCTCAGCAGTTCTGATTTCCATCTTTGCACGGTTCTCATGAAATCCTTTTCCCTTTCTTTTCTTTTCTATGGGTCTGATATTATATTATGCTTCCATATGTTCTGTAAATCACATGTAGCTCGAAGATATGGTCCTCCCATGCCCGTTCTGGGAATCCCAGAAGCAGGCTTCCAACAGCACCCTGACGTGGGAACCAGATGGCACAGTGACTGGCTCTGACACTGCGCTGTTGGTTCCATTTGCAGGTTATCGTTACAACGATTTGGTGTCTCCTCACTACCTGAACATGATTGCCAACCTGTCTGGCTGTTCTGCTCACCGCCGCACACCCAACTGCTCCGATATCTGCTTCCACAAGAAATACAGGACCCACGATGGTTCCTGCAACAACTTGCAGCACCCAATGTGGGGCGCTTCTCTCACCGCCTTCCAGAGGCTCCTCAAACCTGCTTATCAGAACGGATTTAACCTCCCCCGGGGGTTTTCCTTGGCAGAAGATGCCAGGGACCTGCCCCTTCCCTTACCCAGGCTTGTCTCCACCGCCATGGTTGGGACTGAGACCATTACCCCAGACGAGCAGTTCACACATATGCTCATGCAATGGGGCCAGTTTCTGGACCACGACATGGACCAGACAGTGGCAGCCATCAGCATGTCCCGCTTCTCAGATGGAGCACCCTGCAGCCAGGTATGCAGCAATGATCCACCCTGCTTCTCCGTCCTGATCCCTGCCAACGACCCACGTGTCAGGAATGGGCGCTGCATGTTCTTTGTGCGCTCCAGCCCCGTGTGTGGCAGTGGGATGACCTCCCTGCTGATGAACTCTGTCTACGCCAGGGAGCAGATCAATCACTTGACCTCCTACATCGATGCCTCCAATGTGTATGGCAGCACCGAGCAGGAATCACGTGAGCTGCGGGATTTGAGCAACCAGAATGGATTGCTGAAGCGAGGGAGGATGGTGCCCAGCTCAGGGAAGCACCTCCTGCCATTTGCTGTGGGGCCTCCCACTGAATGTATGAGGGATGAGAATGAGAGTCCTGTGCCGTGCTTCCTGGCCGGAGACCACCGTGCCAACGAGCAGCTAGGGCTCACGGCCATGCACACACTGTGGTTCAGGGAGCACAACCGCATTGCTGCTGAGCTGTCTGTCCTCAATCCTCACTGGGACGGAGACCTCCTGTACCACGAGGCGCGGAAGATCGTGGGTGCCCAGATGCAGCACATCACCTACGCCCACTGGCTCCCCAAGGTCCTTGGGGAAGCAGGGATGAAGATGCTGGGTGAGTACAAAGGCTATGACCCCAACGTCAACGCGGGGATTCTCAACGCTTTCGCCACCGCCGCCTTCCGCTTTGGGCACACTTTGATCAACCCCATCCTGTACCGGCTGAATGAAACCTTCCAGCCCATCCGCCAGGGCCACGTCCCCCTGCACAAGGCCTTCTTCTCCCCTTTCAGGATCACGCAGGAGGGTGGGATTGATCCACTCCTCCGTGGGCTCTTTGGGGTTCCTGGGAAAATGCGGGTCCCCTCAGAACTCCTCAACATGGAGCTGACAGAGAAGCTCTTCTCCATGGCACACTCTGTCTCCCTGGACTTGGCTGCTATCAATATCCAGAGAGGACGAGACCATGGCATCCCACCTTACAACGACTTCAGGGTCTTCTGCAACCTCTCATCTGCACAGGAGTTTGAGGACCTCAGAAATGAGATAAAGAACTTGGAGATCAGGGAAAAACTCAGGAGGTACTGTAGCCTGGACTCAGAGGGATCAAAATCACTGGAGATCAGCTAGTGAAAAGCTTTTGCTCCTCCTAGAGCATCAATCAAATAACCTTCCTATCAGATGACCAGATATTGCTGTCCACAGACATTGGGATAAGTTAGTAGTTGTGGTTTGAGAATAGAGTAAGAGAAATAAGGTCTCTCCAAGTGATCAGGCTCTTTGTGAGCAAAATGTCATCAGGCACTGCTGTGCTTGGGAGCAGACTGAGCCTTGGAGCTGTTTTCCAGAGACTAAACTGCAGTGTACGTACTGGCTGCTATGAGCTTACTCTTTCCAAGACAGACCTTTATCCCAGTGTCTTTCAGATAACACCAAATTAGAAATATGTTCTAGATTACTTCCTGTTGTACGCATGCCTACAGTAGGATCAATTTTTTTTGTCTTTACATTTTGATAGTTTTAAATGTTTGTGGGGTTTTTTTGTTTGTTTGTTTTTTTGTTTTGTTTTGTTTTACGTATATATGTGTATATTTATCCTTCAGCTTATATGGAACTACCAAAAATATTGACCTGTTTCCAGCCCTGATGGTAGAGGATCTTGTCCCTGGAACCAGAGTTGGACCAACGCTGATGTGCCTGTTAACAACACAGTTCAGAAAGCTGAGGGATGGAGATAGGTATTATCATCAAAGTCAACTCAACATTCTGTTTAGGGAGATTTGCTCCCTGTGAGGAGCGAGGAAGGAACAGAACTTGTCATTTTTGATTGTTCTTTGTCTTACGATAGCAAGAAGGGTCTCCTCTGTTCAGGACTTTGTCACAGGTACTTTCAGTGTGTGCATTCATGCACACACCAATTCCCTTTCCACTAAGAAAGTTCTTGAGTTCTCAGAACTCGAGAGAATATCAGCTTCCTTGTGATTCCCAATTTGCTCCTTGTGCAAGTGCCTTGAGATTCCCCTGCACAGGGCTGTAGGTACGGGTGGTCGCACTCTGCAGCTCACAGGGATTCCTGGGTTCACAGAACTGAACTTTATGTTCACAGCTGCCTGATAGCAGAATAAAAGCTCCTTTGGGGTTCTGGGTGCTGCCGTGCAGATGTAGAGGATCTCATCTGCCATCTTCCTCTCTCATGCTGTGATTACGACACCCCACAGGTTTTGGTATGAGAACCCAGGAGTCTTCACTCCGGCGCAGCTGACTCAGCTCAGACAGTCGTCCCTCGCTCGTGTCATCTGTGACAACAGCGACCACATCCAGCAGCTCCAGAGGGACGTCTTCCGTGTGGCATCGTACCCACAGGGCATGGTGGGCTGCGAGGAGATCCCTGCTGTGGACCTTCGCTTTTGGCAGGACTGCTGCGAGGGTAGGGAGCAGGCTGTGCCAGTGCTGCGAGGTGGCACTGTCACATGCTGTTTCTTTTTATGTGAAGGGTCAGGAGCTGGTTTCATGAAATTAAATGCATCGAATCTGGCCAAAGGTCCATCAGGGCCGTTCAGGGCTTCTCTCTCTGGCAGCTGGTGCATAGGGAGTGAGACTGAGCAGGATGTGGGCATGGTGACCCCATAACCAAACTTACGTGTTTGAGAGTCTGCAAGGCTCCTGCATTAAACTGAAGATCCTACCATAGTCACTTTGTGTGATATTCTGGCTGCAAACACCCAATAAGACATAAGAATCTATGCACAATTAATCTCCTTCATTCTGCTGTATGAGATGCGTAAAGGCTGAGTGGTGAAGGAGAGCAGCACTGCCCTCCTCATGTTTCATTTTAAGCCAAATGGCTCTATTTTATACACAAGTGCTAACACAGGCTTTCCTTTCCTTGGTCAAGTATTGGCACAGGCTGCCCAGGGAAGTGGTGGGTCACTGTCCATGGAGATGTTCAAGAACTGTGGAGATGTGGCACTGAGAGACATGGCTAATGGGCATGGTGAAAGGTTGGGGTTGGACCTGGGGATCTTAGAGGTCTTTTCCAACTTTAATGACTCGATTGTTTGTTTCCTTCCCTAGATTGCCAAACACGTGGGCAATTCAGGGCCCTTTCTCAGCGGTTCCGAAGCAAGAGGTCTCCTGGATTCAGCTACCCTGAAGAAAACCCTGCCAAGCACAAGCCTGCCTCCCCCAGGTGGATATTAACACTTTCAACCTCTGTTCAGAAGTGTAAGAAAAGTTTTTAATTACTCAGGCCATTCATGCCTTTAACACTGGCATTTTGCACAGCAGTGTTTTACTAAGTAAATGCTGAGTTTGATCAAAGTTATCCAACACTTTAGCAGAGAACAGGATTCTGCTTTTTAAATATTTGGGCAGATCAGGGTACCACTGAGTGGCTGTTTAACTGACATCTCTTGGAAGACAAAACAGTAGTTGGGCCCTTCAGCACCCATCTTGTTATATGGAGGCTGATGTTGGAGAAGGCAGAATCATTCTCTAATCCAGGAAGTCAACGTTTCTGTAATTCCTTTCCCTTTTCATCCCTCACCCCAGAAATGAGGCGACTTCTCCAAGCTCTTCTTCCAGAGAGAATCTTGAGTCCCTTGTGGCTGAACTGGAGAAGGCAGTCACTTCCCTACGGAAACAGGTAAAACTGTGTGCCCCAACATTCATCTTCCATGGAGTCAGCCTGAGAGCAGGACTTAGCTGTTTGCTATGAGTAGTTTCTGTGCCCTCCAGATCCAGGTGCAACCGCTGGATGCGAGTAGCCTAGGATCACAGGAAACTAACAGCTCATAAAGAGTTGGGAGAAGATGAGTTTTTTGTGCTCAGACCTCAACAACTGCAGGGGAAGCACAAGTTTGAGACTGAAAGTGACTCGAGCTAGCACTTTTTTTTCTTGTATTTGGGACAAGTTAAAGAGCACTGGCCCTAGAAGATGTGGTTTAGTGGTAGGACTTGGTAGGTCAGGTTGATGATTGGACTTGATCTTGCAAGTCTTTTCCAACTTGAATGATTTTATGATTCTGTCCAATAGTGAAGGCTCTACTAAGATCTGCTTTTCATCCCCACCAGGTGCATGTACTAGAGAGCCAGCTAAGGTGGCACCACAGGAACACCAGCACGTATGAACAGGGGAAGAAGACTGGGGACAAACGGAGAAAAAGTTGACTGTATTGCCTCCTCATATATGAGGTCAGTGTGTTTGTTCTGGGCTAGGGTCCTGCAGGTGGCTCAGTGCTTGTGGAGGGACAGTTGTGCAGCCTTCATATACAGAAAAGACTTGCAGTAAGGAATGGAGCAATCCAGTAATGAGTTGGATGAGGTAATAGGCTTAAATGCAGCAGGTTAGACACCATTTCTAACAGTAATGATTAGTGACTCACCAGAATGAGTTGTCTGGGGATCTTGTGGCATATCCATATCTGGAGGTCTTTTAAGAACTGGTTTGGCAAAGATGGGGAAATACATAAGTATAGGACTTATGTGGACTGGGTGAGGTGTCTGAGGTTTATTCTCCAGGGATGTGGGTAGCTTTCTTCTAGCAACACTTAATGCCACAACACCAAACCCAACAGCCTCCAGAGGACCTCTGTGGGGAGAGAGAGTAAGAAGTGCAGTGATGGAGCAGATGGACTGGTTCCTCCTCAAGGTAACGAGGACATCTTGGCACATGGAGCAATCCATTATTTGCTTACATATTGACAGAGATTTCCCCCTTGACAACTGAGTCACTTTGCACCTCTGTGCTGAAAGCATCAGTCCTATGTTTGCTCGACTCCAGCCAAGGGAGCGAGGCTGTTGTATTTCTCAAGTCAGTATAAGCACCTTCCAGCAGTGGCAGAAATCTGCAAGACCTCTGGTTCCCTGTGTTCAGGATCACAGTGAGCACAGGTTGAGTTCCCTTCCATGGATATCCCTGCAGCCTTGAACAACTCGCTGGAACCTGCCAGTCTGGAGGAGGTGGTTGATAGTTTTTACGTGTTGCAAATTACTACTTCATGGACAAGAGGAGTTATGCAGAAGCACTGCCCTGCCAGGCAGTCTGTGCTAGAAGAAGCATCCACTGGAAGTTAGATTAATGAGGAGGGCACACCAAGGCTGATCTGTGCTGATAATCTCTGTGGAAAAAGGAGAAGCTTGTAGACCGCCCATGCCATTTTCCAGCCTGATTTGATATGTGGGTTTCTACACATTTTCCACTTGAATACCGATCCTATTCAGAAATTTGACAGCCATAGGCTGCACTGTTACCCACACGAATTGGCTTTTCTTTGACATCATTTGCAGATCCTTGAAGAGCGCTGTAGGGGTTTTACAGGGTCCCCCAGATCTATTTGTCATTGTAAAGGATTATTGCTGTTCTTGTGCTGCAATCACACGTGCCTCAGGCACAATACAAATGGTGATCTCTGCCTCTCACAAAGTTTTTTTCTCTTTTTGTGCTGTTCCAGGTGTCTGGTGATCTGTGCTCTTGCTCACCGTCAGCCAGTCCAACCCATTCTTCAGAGGCTCCAAGCAACCCATGAGCCCCCATGACACCCTGCCACCTCCTGTGCCACCTCTTGTCCCAGAACATCTGTCCTTCTGCCTGTATTGAGCCCTGCACTGCAGCCCCTCAGCCCCTGCACTGTTCCAGCCCTTGTCAGCCTCTAGGGATGGGCTCTGCCACCACCACACTGTCCTGCTAGATGGTGCCAAGATGCCACTTCCTTCCACCAGTCCTCAAGAAATGGAGGATAACTGAAGCTGCCTTAGATTCACCATTGTGCCCTTCTCCTCTTTTCATCCATCTTTGACATCATCTTCCTACCCCTGGTCTGAAATGTTAACTGAAAGAATTCATTACGAGATAAAACCTCTCTCAGATGCACTATCTTCAAGCCAGGAAACATCTGGAAAAATCTGTATGTGGTTTGAAAAAAGGAAAATTGAACAAGCATGAGATACTCTAATGCTAACAGAAAGACCAAAAGGAACCTGAGGGCCGTGGAAAGCATTGTGTGGGCTGGGCTGGGTCCATGCCTGCAGCAGTGAGCTGGATCCAGAGCCTGGGGAGGTCTTGCAATTGCTTGGGTGCTTCAGGACAAGCTGTGGCAGCCCACCATGCTGAGGCCTGCTGCTGTGCTTTGCCACCTGATTGGTAATGGGTGGCACATCCTCAGTGCTGTGACCCTATGAGTGACCTCCCATTGCTTGCCTGGTGCTCAGAAACATTTTCTTCAATACTAACTGCATTCTCCAGGGTTCTGCCCTTCTGAGGTTTAATTGGATTTATGTTTCTCTTCCTTTTTTTTTTTTTTCTTTAACTCCCAATGGCTCTTCACTGGAAGATGTGTTTTGAGTGTAAATGTAACAGGACCTGCAACAGAACCTCTGATAATTAGATGTAATGGGCGCTCTCATTAGTGAGGGGGAGCTGCTGGTTTCTGTCAATTAGTACTGGAGAACACGATGTGCAGTATTTGACACACTGATGAATGCGAAGTGCTGCTTGTGTTTATTGCTCCTAGGTGCTCTGCAACGAAACCACGACTGTGCAACCAGCTCTCCTGAGCTGGTCTTCTGGTTTCCTTGCTCTTTGGAGGTGCTTTTTAGTGGTGCTAGATCTGAGGTCCCTGTGCATCCACCACAGCCACCTATGTGTGGGCAGATTGGTTCTTAATCCATCTGTGTAAGCCAAGCACAGGAGCTGAGAGAAGATACTTGATCTGTTTGATAGCTGTGCCTTATCTTTTTCACTTTTCCTGTGTCCTCCCACCTGCCTTCCCCAGTGCAAGGACCCACATCTTTTATGAACGTGCTTTCCCTCATCTTCTCCTCCTTTTTTTAGGTGTGTGATAGTACCAAGGGGATTCAAAGCAACAGAGATGCTCCTGGAACTTAATAGGAAAATAAAACAAAATAGGAGAAAAAGGTTGTGATTTCTCAGCAATTTCCTGGCGTGGGACTCTGAGCTGTGTGTGCATGTCCTGTGCAGACAGAGGCTGCAGTGATGAGTGTGTGTTATGCATGTCTGGTAAGCTCAGAGGCAGCATTTAGTCCTCGGGGATGTTTGTCACATTGAAGTACTCTTTCATTTAGGTGCAAATCAAGGTCCAAAGCCTTGCGTGTTCTCTATCAGCTGCACTTGTCTCTTGCTTGTACCACCAGAGAATCCAATCTGGCAGAGGTCAATAAAGGTAAATCAGTCTCCAGTCTCCTTCTGCAAACCACAAGTTTACCAAGTCCCCATTCAAAGCAGCAAGACATAAGTGGTTGGTGCTTGATCTAATCAGATAATCTCTCTAAATGCATAAGTGAGCAAGGCTTCTCCTTCCCCACAGAGCATGTGCAGCCTTGGTGCAGCCTTGTCACTGGGGCAGCTGCCCCTTTGCTCCCCATGTGTTGCAAACCCTGAGCTCCATCTTCCGTTCCTCTCCCCGGGCTGAGGTGGGAAAAACATGCAAAAATTAAACATCAGTTCATGCCCCCATCAGCAAGGCTGTGAGCAGGGGAAGATCTGGCGGAATTGCCCATATACCCAGGTGTTATTTTGCAAAGAATGTTTTGCTGAAGACTTGCTTTTCTCTCCATCCCCTCTGTGCAGCAAGGTGAGACCATTACAGTGAATTAATCTGTTTTCTTTATTTGTTTTAGAGAACCTCTTTGAAAAACCCATATCCACACCCCTAATGAACTCCCCCCAGCCATGACAGCAGGGGAGGATCGAAATAACAAGCTCAGGGCCGGGAGCTGAGTTCCTGGGGGAGCTGCTATTGCCGAGCACTGCCAGGCACAGAACTCCCACTAATTAGATGGAACAGTTAAGTGACAAAACCCACGCAGGGGTTGCTGAGGGGGCTGGTGGTGGGATTTGTAGCAGAGTGGATGTTCAGACAGCTGAAGGAACGCAACCCACATGCACTGTGTGAATCTCCATCCTTTGCTGGGGATGAGGGCCCAATGCGAGGGGCATGGAGGCACCTGGGGCTGATCCGGGGAGGGGCGGGGGGGAGTCCATCCTGAGGCATCAAGAAGTGAATTCCTTAGAGATGCCCTGAGAAAGAGAAATGAATGGGAAGAGGCAAATGCAGGGTGATATCTATCCAGCAACTGCCCAAACTTCAGACCTCCTCCAGGTTACTTTAATTCTATTTTCCTTTGGAAAAAAAAAAAAAAAAAAGGAAAAATAAAGCCCTCCCACACAGGGGGGACCGCGACCATTAACGAGAGCCCGCCGCTCATCACAAGAGCTGCTTAAAGAGCAGCGAGCCGTGTTTACCAGCACTCTGGAAACGAGCGTGAGAGCGCACGTTAAAATCCTAATTAAAGGTGAAGCCTTTCTCCTCTTGCGAGCGCTGCCCGGCTTGGCGGCTCCAGCTGTGCCAGATGTGCCCGCAGGTCTCCCACACAGCGACGCGTCCCGCCCGCGCACTCACCCCACCAGCCCAACGGGTTTCACTTTCAGAAATAGGAAGTTGGTGGCAGTGAGCGCCCAGACGCGTGCGGGTCGGGACGGAGGTGGAGAGCTGCCGGGCGCTGCGGCGCGGGGCCGACGGCATGAGCTCCCCGTCCGCCCCTCGTTGTGCCTTTGGGAAGCGCCGCGGAATAGGAGCGTGGTGACATCCAGGCGCTGCATCCTCCAGGGATGGAGCAGTTTGTCCGCAAGCGTTTGACCTTCTTGACATCCTTCTGGAACAAGCTGTGGCCACGCTCAGGGCCGGATAGCTGCTCGCTGGGGTACTTTGGTTCCGATTCTGTTTCGCTGCACTCGGAGCCCAGCTGCATTTCCTTCATCCCAAAGTCCTCTCTTTTTATCGCTTTATACGCTTTCACAGCCCGCAGTGCAGATGAACTGAGTGTAAATGCAGGGGACAAACTGCGTGTCCTCAGAGAAGAAGGGGACTATGTCTTAGCCAGGAAGCTGCTGGGGGAACCGGCCACGGGATACGTCCCTGCTGCATATGTGGCCAACCTCAGCCAGGGCACCTCTGCTCACCGACCGTAAGTATCCAACTTGTCTGTGTGTAGGGTGGGGGGTGGCCCTGCAGCAGCACAACCCTGCCCAGGAATGGCAATGGGAACCTTCATGGGGCTGTGCTGAGGCTTTGCCTGTCCCTGGGAGTCCCTGTGAGGGAGCTGATAGCAGTGGGGTGGAGGGTTCAGGATGGTGGGCAAAGCCTGAGGACATGCTGGGGACAATTATGCTGGTCCCCCTCCTGTGTGCATCATTCCAGCACAGGAGTAGGTGTGCTCAGCTGAGACATGGTTCAGTGATGTACCAAAACAGGTCCCTGCTTGCTCTGGTTCCTTTTCCCTTTAAGGGGAGACAGTGGGGAGGGATGGAGCTGAGGAAATCACCAGGTCCAACTTGTGTCAGCTCCAAAGAGCCTGTGAGAACAGAGAGAAGTGTTTGAGTTGAGAGCTGTCAGGATTCATTAGGACCAAGCCATGCCTACACTGTTCTGGTGCATCCAGGATGGGGTTCCCCTCCCTGCTGTTGCCTCTCCCATCTGTGTGGAACTGGGTTACCATCCTCATCCAGGAAAAGCCTGGACTCATCCTTACATAAGGCAGCCCAGTCATGACATGCTGGGTAAAGTGTGCCCTGAGACATCGGTGCTCCCCTGCACTGAGTCAACGAGCCCTGAGGCCCCGAGTCAGTGAGCAGGATGTGGGTGGGTGTGGGATCCCTGCGCTCCCTCAGGGCTCCTGCAGCCCCTCCATGCTGAGATAAAGGGGCACAAATTGCAACCAGAGCCCCTCCCTCGCTCCTCACCCTACGCTTTGGGGCAAATTGGCTCGATTTGAGACTGCACCTGCAACATGCCTGGTGGGTTTGGCTCCCTGCTGTGTTCCTATTGCATCCACTGAAGTGGAGTGGGTGTTTGTGTCTGTGTATCTATATGTGTTCTGAGAGCAGAGGTGAGGGTGATGCCAAAGGGCAGCCGAAGAGAGCTGGGAACACACAGACTGTGCGGAGCCACATGTCTCAGCTGGGTGCTAATTTGCCTTGCTGCAGTAAGCCCATCATGGTTAATTTCCCACACAGCAGATGCTGGCAATCCTGACTAATGATGAAACCTCCGGCTTTGCACATCCTAGCTGGAAGGAAGCAGCCTCTTCCTCGGGCTCTTGTGCGTCACACAGGCGTCGGGCCCCAAACACCAACCTGCCTTTTCTTGCTGGAGATTTCATGCATGAACGAAGGGTTTGGTTGGGTACTCCCTCGTGGCTCAGCATTGCTGATAGCAGTGCATCTGGTGCAGCAAAGGGCAGCTGCAGTGCACAGAGCTGTGGGAGGAAAACTCCCAAACTGGGGATCCATTTGGGGTCTTGTACCCTCCTTCCCAGGTGGGGCAATGTGCATCCTTTCCCTGGAAATGGAAATGGGCGCTCCTGAGCCGCCTTTGGAGCTGTATCCATCAGAAGGGAAAAGAGAAAGAACTTCCCAATTTTGAGCATGGTGCGAAGATAAAACAGCCTATAGCCTTGCCCTAGTGCATGCAGAGGATGAACTGGAAATATGAATTATTTGGGTCTTGGGGCACGTGGCTATGAGCAGACTGTTTGGAGAAGGATGAAAGGCACCTTCTGCTGAGCATTCCAACGAAACATAAAGAAAGCATTTGAAGTTGGAAAGCTGTGATAAAATGCATCGAGTGCCTGTGAGAGCAGTGAAACAAAGCAGCCCCGTTGCAGTCACTATGATGTTCATTCTTGCCCCGTGCACAGCCTGTACAGCACCACTGCACTCTGCCCCATCCCTACTGGGAATCTGCCCCAGCTCTGACTGCCCTCTACTCTCCCCCAGGTGGTATTTCAGCAAGATCAGTCGCAGTGAGGCCGAGCAGCTGCTCCTCTCGCCTCCCAACCAGCATGGCTCCTTCCTTGTCCGGGACAGTGAGAGCAGCAGGGGCGAGTACTCTCTCTCAGGTAATTTTGGGGTAATTATCCTGAGAAAATGAGCACGGAGAAAGGAGCCAGGCTGGTCCCCAGGAGCAGCTCAATCAACACTGGGAGAAAAAGAGAAATGTGCTTGGAGTGCTCTACAGCACCTTGTTAAAAGGAGCTAACTGCTTCCTAAAAGCGAACAGCTGTAGGTATGGATCACTGCGTTACTGTGGCAAAGGAGAATGCATCGTTTCCATTGAAGTATGAAAGCCATGAGCACGTTACAGCAGTTTAATGACGGTTTTGCAGCACTAACTCCTGGGATTTTGTTCTGGTGGCTTTTGGAGTCTGACTTTGGCTGCAAGGTGTCAGGGCCTGGTGTGCTCCTGTGCACAGCAAGTTGAGCGTGGGGAGTTTCAGACCAGGCAGCGTCATTGCAATGTGGTCTGATCCAAGTCAAACATCTCCAGCTCCTGGCAAGCCATAGCTCTGTGCTGCAGCATGCTTTCTGCAGGTACAGCTGCTCCTGATTCACCAACCCCACGCGGCGATGAACTCAGACGCTTCTCTGAGCAGCTCGTTTGCATGGGAATGGTTTCCTCTCATAAAGCATTTCCTCTCTGCTCCAGCACCGCCTGTAGCTGGTAGTCTGCTGAGCCAGGCAATGCCAGAAGGAGGGGTGAACCCTGGGACTCCTTTAGAAGGAATTAAATATCCCAGGAGAGGCGATGGAGGGGGCACTGGGGACATGGGAAGGAGCTGAGATTCTCCCCCTGGGCTTCCCCTGCAGTGCGCAACCACACCAAAGTCAGCCATTTCCGCATCTGCAAGAGCCCTGCAGGCAGCCTGTACATCCAGAGGGGTCATCCCTTCCCTGACATGGAGGAGCTGCTTGCCTTCTACACCGAGAACTGGAAGGTCATCCAGAGCCCTTTGCTGCAGCCCTGCAGCCCCACGGTGCGTACAAGGCTGCCCCCCAGCTGCTTTCCCATTTGGGCTTGGTTGGGTGGGTCAGAGACTAAAAGATGTGGAAGAAAGGA